AAAATATAACATGTATGGAAAAGAATGTGAAGACAATTTCAACGATATCTTGGAATAATACATCTTGGTAGTTTGTTGTGGTCTAACAAACTTACAAACCCTTTTGAATCATCTTTGCCATATTTAAATTTTATATTATTCATAAAACAATTTTGACTGCTATACAATCATTTCCAAACAATTCTGACTCTAGTGTCTTCAAAGCGGAACAACATTAAGTTGCAATTGTGTCGAGGGTGTAAATGACAATTCAACTCATTTAGATTTTTACACCAAGTTGAACAAACTGTGCTTATGATGAGATGGTTAACTGTAACTCTATTTGATATTGTGTATGAATTATTTGCAATAATACAACGACATTCATTATAGTTACATAAATGAAAATCTGAATAAATTAAAAATAGATTGTTGCAAAAGTAAAGCTGTTAACAATATCATTGATATAAGTGAATCACTTGGATATAAAAGTGCAGAGCTAGTAGCTTCTGGATTGTTATAACGTAAAATGGAACATGAAAACATTGTAACTGGAGAGCAGTTCGTGTTGCCTACTGGTGGACATCCTTTCTCTGTTATAGTTGGAGTAAATGAAAATAAGTCGAAAAGAAAGAAAGTAAATCAATTTTCATTCCCAAATATAATGCTATCAAACGTTTTAGAACTCTCAAAGAACAAAACTAAAAAATTGTGTTGTACTTTACTCAGTAATCTAACTGGTGTAGAATCAAACATTAATATTAAAATTGCAAGATACTCTAGATATTTTAAATGAATGTAAAACTGAAGAACTTAAAGATGGCGATGAAATAGTTGTTTTAGAGATATAGTTTATGTCAAAAATACACCTGAACTTATCAAATTTATAATTGATGAAAGAGGTATTGATACCCCCTAATGGAATAGTATGAATATCTATAGATGGTGGTATAAACTTCCTTAAAGTTATCATTAATGTTTTTAATCCATAAAGTTATTATTCTTTATCCGGAATGTATATATAGTTTGTTGTGAAACGTTGTATTATTCTTGTCAAATCTCCAAAAATTATTGGCACCTTTGAAACTCGAAGAAGAAAAGTTTAGTTTAGAATTTGATTTAAAATGTGAAAACCGTGTTTTTGGACTTTCAAGTCATTCTGGAAAATATGCTTTTCTTTATTGTAAAGGAGAATGCTCCCTCAAACCAGGGAAACTAAGAATATTGGGTTCCATAGACTTATGTTATGATCAATATGTATGAAAAAAAAGATTAAAAATGCAGGAATACAAAAATGTTATAAATCCTCATTTAATATACTTAAAAAAAGATCAATAAACATTTCTTGAACAAATTTCTCCTCCTCCTGATCTCCACATTATGATGAAGTTGTGGATAAACTTTGTACCATGCTTTTAATAAAAGCATAAAAGTTTTATGTGTTTGGCCAGCTTTTCAAAATTGGTTGAAAACACATTACATTTTATTGAGAGGATATCGTGGACAAGGTTGTAGAGTCGGAGTTGCGGAGTTACTACATTTTTAGCGGAGTCGGAGTCGCTAAACAAAATCGCGACTCCGACTCCTATAGTAAAACTTCTCTGTATTGCACGTGCATGTAAAAAACATTAAATCAACTTTATGTTTATACTAAACCTCAAAAAATGTTTCATAAATTTGTCAAATGAACTTTTTAACATATTGCGTAATATTTTTTTAAAGAATTCAAAGGGTTTTTCAAAGGTTTTGCTTTGGAGTTGTAGTCGGAGTCGGAGTCGGAGTTGCACTCAAAAAATTTTAACAACTGGAGTCGGAGTTGTACTCAAAAAATTACAACAACTGGAGTCGGAATCGGAGTCGTTACTTTTTTTTTACGACTCCACACCCCTGTTGTAGACAATTTTTTATGTTTGAGCAAAGCATCTTTGAAAATAAAGAAAACTCCATGTTTAATTATGTTCATATATATGAGGAATGAGGATGCTATGAAAAAAATTCGGTTATTTAGTAATCTTTTGTTGATAGGCTTTTATGATCTTATTAAGTTTATAGCCTCCTCAATTTGAGAGGGGTGTAAACTTAATAAGGTCATAAAAGTCGAATTTTCATAAACTTTACTCTCTTATAAGGTTAAGCAATTATTCTGAGGTTTTTTGTATCAATTAGTGTTACACAACCTCTTTCCAGCCATATATAGTACTATGTTTTATATGCCTTTACTTAAATAATATCAATATCCTAAGATCACTTTTGATTAAAAAGATTTACCGCGGAAACGTTTTGTTGAACGAAGTTTTTTCAGGTAAGCATTCCTAAGAACCAAAACCAGGGACGTGGTTGCACCTCTGATACCAACAGGTACTGTGGTACCAGCAGGTACGAATTTCCAGAAGAGGGGCCCGGTGAAGTACTTTTAAAGAGAGATAAAAAAGCGGTCAAGGAGAATTATACTTATACTAAAAATATTACGTAACTCGTTTGTATCAACATAGTTTTTTATTATGTCTGAATGCGTCAAATTCCACATTTTCTCATGCTTAACTGATAAGAGACACACATCATCGAAGTCATATTTTAAAATTTCGGAAAATTGTTTGGGTAAAAAATCCAGAAAAAGTCCGGAAAATATTTTCATCTTAAATTTGCTTTTAGCTGAATTATTTCAAAATTTAAAGTGTTTTGAATATCTGGAAAAACTAAAATTGAAGAAAAATATCCGGAATTTCGTATATATACGGAAAAAGTTAATCCCTGAAGAGGGATTATCTTTACGAAATTTATATAAAACAACTACCCACAAAAATCAACATTAAAAAAAACCGCTCAATACATAATTAGTTACAATTAAAGAAGTTAAGAACTATTGATAAAAAAACTACCTAATTTCCAAAGAATATTCTAGAACTTTCTACACTGAAGCTACAAGTTTCAACCATCGCATATGAGTTAAGAAAGTTCTAGATAATCACTAAATACCAATTTTTTGCATGTTTATGCTTATTTTGCAAAAAAATGCGATAGTTGCAAAATAAGTAAAACCCTAAAAACGAATATTACTGTAGACTAAATAAAAATTTATTTATAACCTTTAAACACCAGATGATTTTTCAATGTAATTTTAAACATATATATATATTTTTTCTTCTTATTTATAGAAAAAGGTGAATTCTCCCTCATTTAGGCAAATGAAGCTTTTTAGGTTGTTTTTTTTTCCATCCTACAATCAGCGCCATTTTTTAGCAAAGTATTGTTATAAGACATGTGTATGAACATAAAAAAGTTAAGTCTAAAACATGCCTAAAATTTATATAATCGATGTCCCAGTGGGCACCGGACTAAAAAAAGACATCTTTTGAACGTTCAAAAGACGTTCAAAACGTTCAAATAACGTTCAAATAACGTCTTTTTTATGTCCCGTGTCCACTGGGGTATAAATCGATGTTATACAATGTGATAAATCGGTTTTGATAAATCGATTTTGAGCAATTAAGTATTTTAAAACTATAATCGACCATAAAATATAAAAATACTCTCATAAAATGTTTATTACATAGATTAATTATTTAAAACTATTATAAGTATAATAATTTATTTTTTTTATGTCATTTCCTAATATTTTATATTTTATAAATTTTTTTTTTATACTTTATAAAAGCCAATTAGAATAACTGAGGAAAGTAGCGTCAATTTATCTCAGTTTAAAAAGCGTCGCGTTTTGAATTACAATACATGTTTTGAATTACTATTTTTAAAATACAAAACAACATCGTACTTTGAATTAACTTTTGAATTAACGATTCCATCAGTTATAATTTAAATTTTAATCAATTAAAAGCTATCATTTCAGTTTCGGATTTTTTTTAAATACTTGCAGCGACTAAAAATCTCAAAACAAAATGGTAGCTAGCTTTATTTAATTAACAACTAATTTATTTATTAAAAGTACCATTAATATTTTTTTTAAACTCTCATTCGGCCATTTTTTTCTATTATTGTATGAATTGCCTCTTTTCTTTTAGTTTTAATTTAAAAAATTAAAAAGACGCTAAAATATATCAATTTTCAAAAACTTGTGCATTTTGCTAACTAAATTTATTTTTAGTCACTGATAGCAGTGACTAAAAAAATTATAAAATAAAATGGTAGCTAGCTTTATTTGATTAACAATTGAATCTATTTATTGATGTCCATTAATATCCTGCAGTCTATTTTTCTATTATTGTATTAATTAGTGTTTCTCTTCCTTTTGACTTAAAATTTAATAATTAAGACAATAAAATATATCAATTTTCAAAAATTCGTGCACTTTTCAGAACTTACTGAGTATCATTAAAACACATTTCTTAAAACTAGGATATCAGGTTTCAATCACTTGGATATCAGGTTTTGATCACGCGATCATAAATTTTAACGTTAGCATGTCGGCGCATAAAATGACCGTATATAAAGTGATCCGAAGCTTTCACGCGATTTTCTTGAGCGTGTTACATAGCTTGGCGTTTTATATTTAGTTTCCTCTATATGTGTTTTGATTAATTTATATATATATATATATATATATATATATATATATATATATATATATATATATATATATATATATATATATATATATATATATATATATATATATATATATATATATATATATATATATATATATATATATATATATATTTATAATTTTACATATATATATATATATATTTATAATTTTACATATATATATATATATATATATATATATATATAAATATATATATATACTATATATATATATATATATATATATATATATATATATATATATATATATATATATATATATATATATATATATATATATATATATATATATATATATATTAAAGTTTTTTTATGCTAATTCTTTCAATTCATACTACTAATTATATAAGTAATTGCAGTTGTTGCCAAAAGTTATTGTATTTTTCTATCTATCTTAATTAAATAAAACAGATTATACAAATGATACATAACAGCTTTATATAATCCTAAAAACTATTAGATTTAAAATAACAATTTGTTTATTTTTAATTTAGAGATAACATGTTAAGGGTTTTTATAGCTAGTCTTTTATTTTGTCATACTTATTGTAAATTGAGCGAAGATTATGTTGAAAAATATTTTGTACAATTTATTGACCACTTCAATTTCCTTGGACAAGCAGGTGCTAATGGTCAATTCAAACAGCGCTACCTAATCTCAGGTAAAATTTTTATCAAAATTTTTATATTGATTTTATATTAGATTGTTATATATCATTAAATAGGGCTTCAATACAATATTTTAAAGGTATCAAAATCCAACTAACCTACCAAAATTTATGATGTTTCAAGTACCAATATTTTGATAAGTAGATTTATTGAAGAATTTGTGGACAAAATTTAATTTCTCTTAAATAAAGTTGTTATAACTTTGTCAATAATTATCTAAAAAACTATATCTTGGTATCAAAAGATAGATATACGAGAAAGCTGCATATTTACCTTCAGGGAATTAAAGGAGGCACCAAACCACCACCTTTAACATCCAATAAATGTAAATTTTATCCATAAATAAAAATCTATTTAAATCACTTTAAGGAAATATTAAAAGTTTATCTAACAGTTGGGATGGGTTTGGTGGTTATTTAATACACCTTAGTTTTAAAAAAATTATTCTTATAAATATTTTTTTAAATTAAAACTATTATAGCAATTACAACAAATAAAATTTATATTTTTCTTGGTTTCAACATATACCAGTGGTGTATAGATTCACATAGAGAAGGATGGGTAGATGGTCCTCCCCCCTGCCTCTAGCCTGAAACCAATTAATTTTTTTTCTTAGTTGCTATTAATGTGAGCTAAAGTTATCAAAAGAAAATTTAAATGCAGCTGTTATATCTAATGACACTTTATAACCAGAGTGGGAGCTGCTCTGCGATCTTATCCACTATCCAAAAATATATATTTCTTTAACATAATGTTTCAATCTTATTATTATCTTGTATCATTATAGAATATAAAAAAAGTTATTAAAAACATGCTAAAAAAATTGCTTATTTATATGTGTAGTGTCCATGTTTCTAAGGGATGGAGCTTTTACCCCTCTTTACTAAATTAAAAAAAAAAATTGAAATTAAAATTGAAATAAGTATGATTAAGAACTAAAACTAGGTTACTGTTTTAAAATTAAGAAATAATAAAAATCTTATTAACAAGAAATCATTTTTAATTGCACTGAGGATGTATATAATTACTTAGTTTTGATTTTTAAAATCATGCATACCAGGCTAAAAATTACTGTCCTGAAAGCACTTTTTTGTGCACTGGCGGTAAATTTAAACAGAGAAGACTGGTAAAGGTATAATTAACACCAAAACCGTCTATAAAAAATTTTATGCAAGTTTCATCACTTGAGATATTTTTTTGCAAGTCACAACACTTGCTGTATTTAGTTTGCAAGTTTCATCACTTGCAATATCATTCTGCAAGTTACAATATTTATGATATACTTTTTACAAGTTGCGATACGTTTTTGCAAGTCAGAACACTTTTAGTATCTATTATGCACGTTTCATCACTTGCTATAACTTTTTTCAAGTAGCAACTCTTGATTATTGCATGAAAAAAATATAACTTGTTGATATTATTTCAATGTTGAATTAATAACTATAATATATTAATAATAACAAAATTGTAATTTTCATAATTGTAATGTTGCCAGAACCGCAAGAGTTGCCAGAACTCTTGCGGTTCTGGCAACATTACAATTATGAAAATTACAATTTTGTTATTATTAATATATTATAGTTATTAATTCAACATTGAAATAATATCAACAAGTTATATTTTTTTCATGCAATAATCAACAGTTTTAAAATCTGTTTCATCTTTTTGCCTGTTAAAAATAGTGTAATTTCTGTTTTGGAATCTTTCCTTTCCTTTTTTTTCTCTGCTATCATATCTGGTGGGCATAATTTGTTCAGTATCGTTTCTGAGTTTATATCATTCATAATTTTCTACCCACAATTCTCTCAGAAATTAATCACCTAAGTCATTAAGTTTTGTAGTCTGATTCAATTAGTCAAATTGAAATTTTGTAGTCTCGTTTAAAACCTTTCTCCACATTAATACTTATTGTCATATATAAATATGACAATAAGTTTTATGTATGATATACTTATTGTCATATATAAATTATATATAGATTATTTAATTAAGAATTTAATATACAAAATTTAAATATATTTAATTATTAACTTTATTATTATTAAATTAATAGTTATTTTAAAATAGTTAATAATTTAATAATTATTTTAAAATAATCGTTAAATTAATAATTAATTTAAAATATAAATATAGTTTTTAACTATATGAGTGACGCCTAACTTGATTTGTAAAACTTGTAACAAAACTTGCAATTTATCAATTTTTGGTTAAATAAATTGATTAAAAAAAAAGTTATTTTTTCCATGCATAAAAAATTTTATTTTTGTATTTAACTGTAAGTTTGTCATCAGGAAAAAAAAAAAACGAAGTCATAGGTTTTATTACAATTTTTACAAAATCAAGTTTTTAAAATTTGTTTAGTTATCACTCATATAGTTAAAAACTAGTCAATAGAGTGATACCTAAATATAATAAATAAAAAAACCACCACTTATGTAGGAAGGAATGTATGGAATATAAATTATGTAGGAACTAGGACCAATTATTAGTTCTTCTATTAGAACATAGGTACTAGTACAGATAAAAAATCTCACTTAAATTACACAAATATAGAAATATCATATGTCCATAATTACCCCAGAGGCCGTCAATCCGCTAACCTCCCCTAGTATGCTCATGTTCACAAATATAATAATGATAGGGTTAACAGCATGCAACAATATTGATAATATTAGTATAATATTAATAATGATAGTTAGATTACAATAGATTACAATAATAGCCTCCTTGACTGTAATAGCTTTCTTGGACTTGGTGAGGTTATTTAACATTAAAAAATTATCAATATTAATAACAATTAACTAATTGTTAAAAAACTGTTAAAAATTGTTAAAAAACAATTAACTAATTGTTAAAAAACAATTAACTAATTGTTAAAAAAGCTGTTAAAAATTGTTAAAAAACTAGTACTAGAACTAGTTTTTTAAATCACTATAGTATAAAGAGAAAGTTATGAACTGACAAAATGTAGCGATTATCAATTACATAAAATAAATGTAAAATAAATAATGTAAAATAATGTAAAATAAAATAAATTTAAAATAAAAGATAAAAGTAATAATAACAATAATTATAGTAATAATGATTAAAATCATACAGATAATATTATGATTATTAAAAAAGGTTAACAAAAAATTTTAACAAAAACAGCAACAAAATAAAAAATAAAACTATTTTTAGTCAAGCATTATTATAAATTAAATAATATAATTTTAAAAAATAATTACAATATTATGAAAAATAAACAAAGAAACAAGAAATGTATAACAACAACAAATAATGAAAAAATACAGACAAAAAAATCTTTTGCTTTCTTTTTTTTCTTTTTCTTTTTCTTTTTCTTTTTTTTTTTTTTTCAATTATGTTTTATATTTTTATACAGTTCAATAATTTGTTGTTTTTATGTACCTTCTTTATTTAGTTTTTTTTTATTTCTTAATTTACCTATTTAATTTTTTGTAGTTGTTATAATTACTTTTTTCTTTCAAATTTTCAACTTTCCTTATTTTTCAATTATTTTTTTTTCTTTTTCTTTTTTTGTTTTTCAATTATTCTTTTTTCTTTTTCCTGTTTTTTCTATTTTTGCTTAATTTTTGTTATTCGTTTTAATCTTTCTTTTTTTCACCCTTTTAAAATTTCTTTTTAACATCTTTTGAAACTCTTGAAAAAAAAAAAGTCATTTGCGATTTTATTATATTGATTTTTTTGAATATTTGATCATTTTTGAATATTTGTATATAATCTATAATTATTTAATATATAAATGTTAAATTGTATAATGAAAATTATGAAAATTACAAAAAATTATCTCTAGGATTTTTTTATAGATAAATATTGGTCAAAAGGAAAAGGGCCGGTTTTGTTTTACACTGGTAATGAAGGTTCCATTGAGAATTTTTGGGAAAACACTGGTTTTGTATTTGAACTTGCTCAAAAATTAAAAGGCCTAGTTATTTTTGGAGAACATGTAAGTAAAATGTAGTATTTTAGTTAATAATTAATTATTATTGCTATTAATAATATTCAATAGTAAAGTAATAATAACAAATAAATACACAAATAAATATTACTAAATATTGTAATAAAATAAATATATATTTTTATGGCAATAATTTTTTTTTCCATTAAATTTAAGTAGTTAATTATTTTTTTAATTTTTGAAAAAAAAACTTGGTAACAGTTTTGAAAGAATTTATTTTTTACAAAATTGAGCCTTATTATTAATAATGAACCTGTCAGTTCTGTAACTATGCGCTAAAAGCTACCAGCTTCAGTGCTTTTACAAGTTTAACAGGTTTAAGACAAGCAAAAAAAAATCTTTCAATTTCTCTTTACCATTAAAATTATTTTTTGCGCTACTCAATTATCTTAATTATTTGTGCTATTTCATTTTCTGTTTGCTACACCAAATGGCAAGTAAACTTCTGCATAAGTTTCAATTGGTTTGAATACAGCATAAAGGAAATCTTGTTTAATCGGGATCTGGTAAAATACTGACTTTAAATTGATGATAAAAAATATTTATACTGGTTACTTTTTTTTACAAGTTCATTTGCTTGTGGTAAAGGCTTAATATCAACACATGTTATGATTTGGCTATATTCTAAGAATATAGCCAAATTGTAATATATATCTTGATATCTAGCTTTTTGATTATTTATTTCTTGTTTCTACATGATCTCCAGGGTGATGTAGAAGGCTTAATAATTCCTTTTTGTAAAGACATTGTGCTTTAGTTAAATAAACTTTGGTAATGGCAGCCAAAATGGTAGGAGTCTCTGGAAATACTGTAGATGCTGCAAAAAATGGTTTTTATGGAACAAAGATAAATAATCTTTAGAATGCTTTTGAGTAGATTCATTTGCTTTACCCAGTATCTGTCTATTGTTATTTCTATTGTAAATTAGCTGTTCTTTGTTTTGTTTTAAACTATACCGTTGATAAAAGAGTTGCAAATTGTTTATTGATATAGTAATGCAGTAATTGCTTTTGAGTTGCAATCTTTGGAAAATATTTTAAGTGCTAGGGTATAATCATCCAATAATTCACCTTTTTGTTTGCCTATTGCTTAACAATGATGAACAAGTATTATATTTTGGTGGTATATTTGGTAGTTTAATGCAAAAGTATGTATTCTTGACTATTTAATGATGTATTTGTTGGTGTTTTAAGTTGTGCAGGCCGTAGAGTTTTGTTTATTATTGTAATTTTACACAACGGTAAATAAATTGATAAAATTCTTAAAAAGTAATATATTTGTACCTTAAAAAAAGCGCAATAGTTTGTGACTTTTTTTTGTTTTACACAAGAAAAGATTAATGACATAATTTTTATAATGTTCAACATCAATTTATTACATAAATGTTTAACTCTATTACTTCCCATTTAAGCAATCAGTAAATAACTAAATAATTATCTAATTTGTAAACCAATTTTTTTAATTTTTTATTATTCTGGTTCACTGCAAGCAACTGAATGAGTTAATGAAACTAGAGGTCATAGCTCCTTTGAGCAGCAACCATGATTTTTATAGAAAAAAGAATGAGAAGCTTAGCAGATAGAATATATCCAACTACGTTTACAATGTGTTTTTAGACCTTGTCTAGAAGAGAAAGAGCATCATTAGAAGAACCAGCCCAATCATGACAACAGTATTCCATACAAAGATGAATAAGAGATTTGTAGAGGTAGAGAATGGAATCAAGAGAGAGGAAATGGGGAGCATGATAAAGAGAAGCAACCTTGGCAGATACTAGTCTGTTACAGAAATGAGATCAGATTCAAGATCGGCTGTCTGTTTTAGGCAATCAAAAAGATAAGTTTTTTTGTCAAGACAGAATTATATAGTTAAATCATCAGCAAAAAGAGCTACTTTACATGTAAGGTTGTCAAGAAGATCATTAATGTAGATAAGAAACAAAACAGGACCAAGGATAGAACCTTGAGGTACCCCAAAAGTTACTCAAAATAAAGAAGAATGTTGGCCTTTAAGGATGAAACAAGCTTATAGAGAAGACCAGCATGTCATACTTTGACAAAAGCCTTAGATATGTCAAGAGCAATAGCTCTAGCCTCTTCGCCTCTATCTAATGCACAATAAAATTATTCAATCACAGCAGTTAGCAAGTCAGCTACAGAGCAAGAGGATCGAAAACTGTATTGATTGTCTGATAGTAAGTTATTTGACTCAAGATGGGATGTGAGAAATTTGTTTATCAAAGAATCTAAGACATTCCTAATAAAAGAAAGAAGACTGATCAGAGGATAATTGGAGGGGTCATTGGAGCAGGCAAGAAAGCAAGACTCAGTCAAGCACTTGTTAAATAGTTTATAGAGAATTAAGTTTAAAGAGGGTTCTGGAGAACAATTTTGTAAGGCTATGACAGGAGTTTTGTCTGGCACACAATCCATAGAAGAATTTAATTGAGATATGACTTTAGCAACAGAAGCTGGAGTGATTTGAATGTCAATTGATTAACCTGTTTAATTGGAAGAGTATGGCTATAAGATTCAAGAGTCAAATAAAATTTTATTGCAAATAGTTTGACCTTTTACTTGAGAGAGGTAATAAGGTTGTTTCCATGAATAAGAGATGAAATGTTAGACCTTTGTTAACGATGCTGCTGAAGATTTTCCAAAAGTCTCTAAAGCCTAACATTTGAGATAACAGAATTAGTGAACTGAGAGTAATGGAGCTTAGCATCTAAAAGCACATTTTTACATCAATATCTTGCAATTATAAATAGCTGTTTGTTCTCAAGAGTTGTTTTTTTTTAAATATGAAAATATGATTATGATCAGATTTAATTAATTTTTTTTTTTTTTTTTTTTGTTGCTGCTGGTGACCTTTATTTTATTTAAAGTAGAATTTTTTCTTTTTTTTTCAACTGATTGTAACAGATGCAGCTTTAATAAATAGTTTTTTATTAACTTTTTTATTTATTAACAGAATCATTCAACTAATTAATTGATTGAAGTAATTGAAATTAATTTATTGATAACTGCATGTAGTTATAATAAATCAATTTATAAAATTTTTTTCTAGCGATATTATGGCAAATCACTACCTTTTGGAAATGATTCTTTTACTCCTGCCAATATTGGTTTTTTAACTATTGATCAAGCTTTAGCTGACTTTGCAGCTCTTATTCAACACTTGAAGAAGAGTATGGGTGCTGATAACTGTTCTGTTTTTGCATTTGGAGGAAGGTGAGGTGTTACTTTGACTATGAATATAAAAGTTTAAAAATATTTATATATTGTTAATGTTTAGATATCTTGTAGTAATAAAACTGATTATTGTATAGTTATGGTGGTATGTTGACTGCATACATGCGTTACAAGTATCCTCACATTATTGATGGTGGTGTAGCAAGTAGTGCCCCTTTCCTGACTATAGCTGGAAAACGTCCACGATCAGAATTTTTCCAAACTGTAACTGAGGTATTTTATATAATTCTTTTTTTTTTTTTTTTTTAATATTGTATATATTTTCTATTTTCTCTCAGCTTTGAAACTTTTGTAAAAAAAATGAGAGAAAATTAAAAGAACTAAGATTATCCTTTCTTCATCAAATCAATATAAAAATCTGAGAAAGTTATTTGCTACTTTCTTGTGTTTATTTTAAAATATATAATAAGTAACTTTCATTTCTAAACATTTTTAGTAATTTTTGAATAATAACTTGATAGCATAATAATAAAAAGTAAATTTAGCATTATAACTAAAACACTAGGTTTTTATTTATTTTTATTTTTTTTCAAAAAAGTTTACTTCATTCATTTTTATTTTTAACACAAATCTCTAGTGTTGTTACGATTTTGAAATAACTCGACTGTCGACTAAATTGATTAAGGTGTTTTTCAAAGTTGACTAATATTTTTTGGAAGTTGACTAAAAGTTGATTTAGTCAAAATATTTGAATTTTTTTTTAAATTAAAATATTTAAATGTTACTCGGCAATTTATTTCTTAGATTAAGAGCCATTGTCTAAGAAATATTGGCAAAGTCTGGAAGTGATGTCTTCAAAATGTCTTCATGTTCCGATATTTTGTAAAAAACAATGAAAGTAGACCACTGGTAAATTTTTTTCAAAAAATTTCTATTCGTTTCAGAGGTATTGGGTCCCAAAATTTGGCCCATTTTGTGAAAATATTTGCGCAAGGAGTGCAGTTGCTACTTTGTGGGGCAAATTTAGCAACATGAACAACATGGTTACATTTTTAGTTGTCTAGAAATTATGGTCTGAAACCACTAAATATGAAATTTTATCCCAACTTTGAGCTCTAATATTTCTTAAGGCCATTACTTGCATGTAGTTTTTTTATGTGTTTTTGAAAGGTACGAAGGCATACATTGATTATATAGAACAATATTTGTGAGTATGCAAGGACCTGGGAAGGAGTAACTTGCTAAAAATCACTTTTTACATTCAACGCACCTTGAGAAATTACCCATAACAACCATGGCCTTAGGTTTGCCATAAACAGTATAAGTTATTTAATTTCCTTAAACATGCATCTTCCAATATCTGAAAAAAAATTCATGTGCTTGGGTGATTAAAGGCCTACAGAAGTCCTAGAAATAGCCTTATTTTGCCAAGTTTTTATCAAAAAAATACACTAGCAACGGTATAAATATGCTTAGCAATAGCTACTTAATAGCTTTCCTAATTAGTACTGTAATTAAAAATTTTGGTGTAATACATATTTATAACGGAACTGTACATGAGCACTTGACAAAAATTACATTGTAAGCATTTTTAATTTAGCAAAGTATTTAACAAAGGTTGAAGTGATGCAATGGCAACAGACTTGTTAAATGTTAATTTGTACTCCTTAATGTTTTTTCTTATGTAACGCAGTAAAAACTTCTAAATGTCATAATTGATATCTTATGTCATATTTTAATCCGAGTTCTAATTTTAAAACACTCTTTTTTTTAACAGTGGCGGGTTTTAGGGGGGTGCTACAGGGGTAGTAGACCCCGCCCCCCCCCCCCCCACCACCCACCCCTTTTTTAAATGGCCCCCACCACCACCACTCACCCTCTTTTGTAAATGTACTATTTAACAGACTATTATGCTGACAAATTAAATTGAACATTATACGTAATTATATGTATATGAATTTGATTACTACACTAAAGTACAAAAAATCAAAAAAGAATTTTTTGGACTTAAATGTAGTAATCAAATATATATATATATATACAGGCTTGGTTGGGAAGCGGGAGCGATCGCCCTCGATTGCTGACGTAAATAATATTTAGTTGCGAAAAGCTGGCCAGATTTTTTAGACGTTTTAAAAAGCAAAAAAAAAAAAGCGACCAAAATAAATTGGACCAATGAGAGACAATTACAAAAAACAAAATGTAGGCAAATAAAATATCTTTAAACGCGAAAAAACTTTAAGCTAAATAAATTACATTTAAAACAAATATTTTCTTAACATCGGTTTTTTATAATTTTTTTTATAAAATTAAGCGATGTTTTTTATATAAAGTAACAACTTACGATTGTTTAAAAGAGAAACAAATATTCTTTATTTAACTAAATTTGAAAGTTTTAGTTTTACTTAAGCTTAATTTATTTTATAAATAAAAAAGTTAATTTTTTTAATACCTATTTTATGTTTCGCGTAGTTTGAAAAGTTTAACATATTTGAAGCGATTCTTCTTAGTAAGATAAACAAATGAAATAATTAAATCATTGAAATACTATAGGAATTAAATTATCAAGATAGAAATCAACTAAAAAGGTTAAAAACACTTAATGACCAGGAAGCGAAAGTGCTTCACAATATCGCTAATGATGTTTAGTAAGTGGGCTTTTTAATTTTAATTAGTATTTAAAGCAGAAAAAAGTATAACGAGTTTTAAGAATGCCAACTTAAGCGAAAATAATTAGAGTTAGTAAACCAATATCTAGAGACTTTTCTTTATATCTAAATATTTGCTATTATATATTTGTGTTCTGTCGTGACCTCAGGCGCGATGCTTGTTCATCCGCGAGTTACTTTTGTATGCGTTGTTTGTGTTTAGTAACCAGAAACTTCTTATATGTTTGTTACATAATTAGTTTTATTAACTTTAACGATTATAACTTCATTAAAAACGCAATTATTTTTGTAAGTCTTTGTTTAAATCATAAAAGTTGCTTTAAAAGATACATTACGATAAAAAACAAATACACAAAATTACATTTACATAAAGAATACAATCTCTTTTAAAATAAAAAATAAGAATATACTAATAAAATCTATGATTTATAATAAACTTTTAAAATTTTAACAATTTAATTAATATATATTTAAAACATTTATTTTTGTAAACAAATAATATATATTCTTAAAACAATTCTACAAATCTCAAAACGTAACAAATCGTGAATAATACAATTTCTAAAACATTTTAACAGAATACTCTAGAACTTTATTTCGCTTAATCAGCGTATTTTTTGAACCAATAGTATTAGTTTGTTTGTTAATTTGGCGGCTTTTTAGTGTTCACAAATATTCTTTTTATTCTTTCGCACAAAGATGTTTTGAGAACATTCAAGTTTGTTATGTTTCCATGTATATCCGTAAAACAAAAATTCTTTGTTTCGTACATAAACTTAAATGTTCTTAAAACGACTAAAAAACCTGGCCAGTTTTACGCAACTAAATATAATTTCCGTGGTCAGTATTCGAGAGCGATCGCTCCCGCTTCCCGACCAAGCCTGTATATATATTTTTTAATCTTTTTAGCCCCCTCCTTGGCGAGTGACAAAACCTGCCCCTGTTTTCTAAATATCTTGTTGTATGAAGTTTTGTTTTACATTCGTTTCGAAATAGCAATCCACAGCTAAATTTTACATTGAAATTTTATAAGTACTCACTGAGAAATAATGCTTAGCTAAATATACTATTTTGTAGATTAAAGTTTAATAAATATTTTAAAAATCTGAGGCACTGATTTCTCAAGTGTTACACAATGAGGATTAAGATGATTTAGCTTAACTAGTTCCAGAAGACCTTGTTGTACCAATTAAGATGTTTCAAGAAAGTGATTCTTTAGGACAAATTCTTTTGTTTTCAGTTATTAATCATGACGATTACGCTAAAGAAACATTAATGAAAATCTTTGATTTCATAAAACTTAAAATGGAAAAAGCACGCAAATTGCAATAAGAAAGCACACAAAGTTGCAAAAAGAATGCACGCAAAGTTGCAAAAAGAAAGCAGAGGATTTTCCATACCAAAAAAAAGAAAAGGTCAACATATGCTGAATTCCACAGGAAAAAATAGAACATTTTTTGGAACTTATGTTTTGTCAAGGTTTGCTGTAAAAAGTAGCTTATGGTGTAAATAAAATAAAGTTTGACAATGGAGAAGAACAAAAAGTGGCTAATGTCATTTTAGTGATGAAGTTTAGTCATACAATCACATTTTATAAAGAAATTTGCCAAGAAACTAATTATCTCTCTATGTCAGATACTTCTTTACGGAGAATTCTTTGTGGAATAAAACCTTCTCAAAGAAAATGTGTGGCTGGTCTTGATGGTGTCATGGCAGCTGGCATGGATGTTTCAAACCACTGAAAAGTGGAAGTATAAAAGTTTTATTAAGTTCCTTAAAAAGGATATCTGAAGAGTAATTATCTTTCCAAATGTAGTAAAAATTCCACTTTACATAGCCACACTATATCTTTTGCTCTTTTAGATATAGATTCAGACTTGAAACAACCTTAAATTATAGCTGCTGATGATGAACAATACATTAATTGTTTTAATCTCATTTTAGCAATCAACCAGGTTCGTGTTTGATTGCTGAAATGAGGTTAGCACAGTCCAGATAAATGGTCAATTAGGAATAAAAGTATTTTTTACTGCTGTCTATAGCTGGCAGCAAAGCCTCGTTGATGTAATCTGTCTTGCTGATATTGTTTTGGCCAAAGTTAGAAATGATTTTCTTTGTTTAAAAAACCAATATGCTAAGTCAGATAATGCATCATCTCATCATGACAGCTTCTACTTAGAAGCCATTTACAAAGTTTACAAAGCAAAGCAATTCTCTCTTAAAAGGTATGATTACAATAAGCCATCACTTGAAAAAGATCAATGTGACAGAAAATCAGCAAGAGCAAAATGTGTCATAAGGAGTTTTGTTGATGCTTGAAAAATAATTTTGACTGGAGAAGATATTTATGAGGCTCTTCATAATGGCAAACAAATTCAAAATGCTTATGTTGCTGAAGGTCCAATAGACTCCAAAGCTTCTACTTTATCAGAAATCAAATCTATAGCAAATCTAATTTCCAACATAAACAGTTATCATTCTTTTCAGTTATTCTCTGATCACATGGCAATGTAGAGATACATCCAAATTGGTAAAGGTAAAAAATAGAACTATACTAATGTAAAGGTTATATAAATTATATAACTATACAAATTACAAAAGTGATTTTTGGCAGGTTACTTCTTCCCAGGTCCTTGCATGCTCATAAATTTTGTTCCATATAATCAATGTATGCCTTCGTGCCTTTCAAAAACACTTAAAAAAAACTACATGTAAGTATTGGCCTTAAGAAATATTAGAGCTCAAAGTTAGGGTAAAATTTCATATTTCGTGGTTTTGGACCATGATTTCTAGACAACTTAAAATGTAACTATGTTGAATTTTTACTTAAACTATAGAAATCTACCCAGATTAGCAGAAAAATTAAAAAGAAATGTGTCTGTCATATTCATGTTGCTAAATTTGCCCCACAAAGTAGCAATTGCACTCCTTGCAAAAATATTTTCACAAAATGGGCCAAGTTTTGGGACCCAATATCTCTGAAATGAGTAAGAATTTTTTAGGAAAATGTTTTACCAGTGGTCAACTTTCATTGTTTTTTACAAAATATCTGAAAATAAGGACAATTTGAAGACATCACTCACAGAATTTGTTTATTTTGCCTATATATCTCAGACAATGGCTCTTAAATAGATTGATCTTTAAGAGACTAAACAAAAAATTAGATGGTATTATTCTATTAGATTAATTTAGATAGAGAATAAACAAACAAAACAGAAATTACAATAGAAAAAATAAGATGACCATTTTATGTCTTGGTTTAACAAGACACATTGTTCAGCCAAATCTGTTTTAAGTATTTCGCTGTTCTGTAATGATTTCAACAGCACTTGAACATAACTCTTCAGAAGGCGTTGATGAAGCAGTTATACAAAAGAGCATCTTCACTATCTTTGACAAAATGGGAAATTGGCATAAATTATTTTTATAAAATGCAAGGGGGCATGAATTTTCCAATTTTATATTATATTTTCTTTTATATTTATATTTAAATAATTAATGATTTCGTTGTCTACTGATAACAAATCTTCTGATGACACTGTTTCATCACATAACAATATATATATATATATTTTTTTTTTGATGGACTTTTTTGACTAGATGATGACTCTTGGCTAGACAACTAAAGGCTTGTTGGTGTTAGCTGCAATTCATGGCTCAATTGAACAAATAAAGAATGAGCTTTTTTAATACAAGAAATTTTTGCTGTTTTCGATATAAATTTAAAATTACAAATTTGCTGATCTAAATATGTAGCTGCGTACAACTTTTCAATATTAAGAAAATCCTTACATCTTTGATTAAAGTTATCTTTGAATTTAATGGCAAGATTCATAATTGTACGATTATTTAATTCACTTTTGAAGTTAGTAAAGTAATCAGTTAATTTATAAATGGCTGGTAATATATTTTGATCCACTCAAAATTTTTGTAAAATCATTTATTGGCTCTAATAAATTAATTAGCTAACCAATGATTTCCAGTTTCCAGTTTTTTAATAACAAATCCTTATTATCTTTGTATTCTGGACCGATAATAACGCCTTTGATCAATTTGCTAATTTTGAAAACTGACTGCAACATTAAAAAGGTCGAATTCCACCAAGTAGCAAGTCTTGTTTTAATTTCTTAATTGAACATTTATCTTCTTGATTGTCAATTTTCATATTATTTAACTCAATCTTACAAATTTACAAGCTGAGTAGAAAGCTTATTACTATGTTTAAATAAGCCAAAAAGTTTCCTAAAATTTCTCTAAAATTATGAAAATGTAATGATTTTCGTCAGTTGATAGCTCATTCTCTTTTACAAGAACATCTTTAACAATTAAATTTAATATATGACAAAAACAAAATATGTACAATTTATTAATTAGATCTTCTAGACAATATTTGATATTCGCAGCAGTGTCACTACTCGTTGAAAGTGTTTTATCACTTATTTTCCATTCATTTAGAATTAACTCAGTTTTTTCCTTTAAATATAGGCTAATCTGGGCTTTTTATGGGATTTCAAACAAAAATTTTGATCAACAAAATGTACTATACCGATGTATGCATGCAAGGCATACATCGGTATAGTACATTTTGTTGATCAAAATGTACTATACCGATGTATGCCTTGAAATATAAATCTCTATATTTCTGCAAACTTGAACAATATGAGTGAGAGTTTTTGTACTTGTTAAATTGGAGTCTAAACTCTTTAATATTAATCCGATGGTTACTATACAAATGACTTGCCATTGAGCTTGTATTTTATTGTATTTTAGCTCTTTGTTGCAAATGTCTTTGTTGTTATTGTAGAGTCATTATTTTTCACAAAATAATTCCAGACTTTACTTTTATGAATGTTGCGATTCAACTTTTTATTTCTACCATAAAAAGAGAATAAGAATAAAATAGCTATTACAAATAAGTCAAAGTAGTCACGGCTCTTAAGTGTGTTCAGATAAGAATTCCTCCATGCAGAAATAATGTCCTAAAGAATTTGTATGAGTACCTATCATTGTTATTATTAAAATTATTCTAATCGTTATTAATTTTTAAAAAGAGTTAAACCAATTGTTTAAAATGTCCATCGGGAGTTATTATTATATGTGTTAATAAAAAGAATTAGATTGAATTTATTGACTTATTGAATTTTAATTGAATCAAAACAGAGAATTTAAAAAAAAAGATTCCCTTTGCATCATTTATCAAAACAATTAAAGCAAAAAATTGGCGTAATTTTTGTGGCGTATCAAGGTGGAGGTCGGTAGGGCCAAACTTTTTTGTGGATTACAGATTTATAAAACTTTGTATATTTTTGGCATCATTAACTAATGATACATTATTAAATATTTTTTTAAAGAATTAATTTTTTATAACGAGTCAGTATAACGAGAAAAAAAAAACATTAATGTAGTGGCACAGCATACAGTAAGCTTAGAGCTGAGTTAATATTGTTTATAAAGATAAAATATTATTTTATAAAGATAAAATAATATTTTATCTTTATAAAATAATCTACTTATAAGGATATATCTTTACTAATTGGATATCATCATAATAAAATTTAATATTGATAAAGTTAAATCAAACGAAGAGATAAAGATAAGAATTTTAGAACCCGACTAAAACGACTTTTAGTTGATTAGTAGAAAATCTAAAGTCAATTAAATTGACTATTAGATTTTTCATAGTCTAATAATTTTGACTTTCCACTAGTTGACTTTTAGTCAAAGTCGATAACAGCACAACAAATCTTGGAAAGAACGATAAATGACAAATAAGAGAGTTAATTAAGGTGAAAATAAAAATTACTAAGATTTCTCAAAAGGTAAAACATGGTTAAACTTCTTTAAATCTTGAGGTAAAGCATAAATTTAAAACATGACTCAATATTAGGGCTGATGACACGGGTTTTAAAGTCATAATCATCAATTTCTAAAAAAAAGTCCTCTATATTTAAAAATTTCTTTAAATAAAAAAAAGCCCTTTAGAAAAAAAGTGAAGGATTTGCCCCCTCCTCCCTCCTTTCTCTGTGTTGTCAGCTCTGATTATATACCAGGCGGGTTAACATTCTTGATTATCTCAATTTATAAATCTTTGTTGATTCCATCTATTAATTCTGAAATGATCAAGTGTGTTGTTGTAATTACAATCCACTTTTTTGAAAGTTAAATATTTAGTATTCTGATTATTTTGATATGTGCAGGAAACTTTATTGAACTTGTATTAAAGACTATTTTTGTTATCAGATATTCCAGTCAGATTTCTAAGTTATACTTGGAATTTTAAAGTCTTCTGTCATAATTAAACTATTATATGCTTTTGTTTTAACTACCCAGTGTGCTCGTGACGTGTTTTATACATCTAAAAAAATGTATTAATGCGTTTTAATATGTGTTATAAACATTTTAAACACGTCTTGTGCCCACTGGATGTACTGGAATTAGATTGCAAGCCAATTTTTGTTTCCTGGGAAGGCTTGTAATGCATTATCAGTTATTTTGAAAGACAAACAGCCTTTTTCTAAATTTTTGCCCAGGCCCTGACAATGGTAAATCTGTCTTATAAAAATTATAAAAATAAAATTTTATTTCTTAACATTCTTATTTTTGTTTTTAAAATTTTTTTTTAGACATTTCGCAAAGCAGACTCTAATTGTCCAAGCAGTGTTCAAATTGCTTTTACACAGTTGATGGATTTGTTTAATTCTGGGAAGGAAGGTTTGCAACAGCTTGAGAAAGTTTTCAGTTTATGTGAAGGGCAGATGACTCGTCCATTTTTAGAAAAGCAAATGATTGCTTGGGCTCGAAATGCATTTACTCTTTTATCAATGGTAGATTACCCATATCCAGCTAAGTTTATGGCTGATTTACCTGGACACCCAGTAGAATTAGCTTGCTCTTACATGCAAGTAGAAGATAAACTTGCTGGTCTTGCAAAAATTACTGGTAAATTTTTTTTTTTTTTTTTTTTTTTTGTATATTCCTAATCAATATCTGCATATGATTGAGACATTAGTTGCTTCTTAGCTGTGGTGATAAGAACTTACTATGGTATAAATCCCCTGATAATTTCTGGATAAGGGTAGGAGAAGCTTGTTTGAACCTTGGGTGGTTTTAAACTTCTAGTAATAGTATCACAATAAAAATACTCAAATACTTTAAAACAGAAGTTAAATTGAGGCCATTCTAAGGGGTAAAAAATTGTTTCAACTCAACTCTAGTTTCATATTTAAATAAGGAAATGACATTTTGGGAACCAGTTGTTAAGCTTAAATGAAATATATCTACTATAACATATATAAATCAGCAATTGCTTGCTAGTTTTGCTTATCTTTACAGCATAAGGCGTTATATATATATATATATATATATATATATATATATATATATATATATATATATATATATATATATATATATATATATATATATATATATATTAGGGTGTCCCAAAGAAAGACAAAAAAATTTCCTTTAGTTTTGTGTTTAGTTTTGTCTGTTAAAAGTGAAAATAAGTACATTTTTGAAAAATTTTGAAGTTGGAACCCCTGCCCTTCTTTTAAAGTTTTTACCCCCTCTGCTGCCCACTTTTTCAAAATTATTTACTTTTAAACTAATTTTAGGCTAAATATATAAATGTATTATTGCAAATAAATATGTTATGTATCAATATTGATCACTGTTATAATTCTTAACTATGTATCATAGCTAAATTTAGTTAATATGATTTGTTTCAAGTCAATGATTCTCAAAAATTATTTAATAATATTATTTGCAATATTTGAGATTGAGAAAATTTTTTATGATAAATATTAATGTTGCATTATTTATTCAAATAATTTTATAATTTGTAGCTACTTTTTTATCTACAGATATAATAGCATATATAAAAAATATATGATCAGTTATGAGCAATAGTAAATTGAGGAAAAATTATGAGAAGTTTGATATTATTGTTGGTAAATTATTACCTACCCTTCAAGCAAAGATGTATAGCCAACTACCAACAAATGGAAATGTTGGTAGTTGGCTATACATCTTTAAAAAGTTGCTTATTTTTAAAGACTATAAGTCTTTAAAAATAAAAAGTTGCATCTGTAGTTTGAAAAAAAGTTAATGTTTTTTGGAAAATGGCAGAAAAATCCAATAAAACAGAAGAAAGATAATGTCAGAATGATACTGCATCTAATTCATCTTAGAGAGAACTTGATTTAAAATGCAAAAAAAAAATGTTATGCAGCTCAACTTATGAGTTTTTCGATTTAAACTATCATTGTTGTTTGATATTGCAGCATCAAATGCAGAAAATTTGATAAGAAAAGATACCTCGCATAGTATCAATAGTCAGATCTCAAATATAGACTTTCTCTCAAATCAGCGTCACTTAAAAAAGCAATATTTGTGCCCTTGATACAAGAGTTATGCTATGAAAGTGAAAAAAAGGAGGAAAAAGAGAAACATAAAATCAAGGCTATTGAAAAAGAGAAATCTAGAAAGGAAAACAAAAGAAAAAAGTTTCAATGTATTGGCAGCATTTGATAATGAAGACAAAACTCATAATAAAAATGAAGAAAGTACTGTTGCTAGACAGAAAAAAAAATCAAGATATTAGAAAACAATAAAGTTTCCTTAATGGCTGATAGCTTGAATCTATCCAACAGAGAAAGATCTGGAATCATTTTAACTGTAGCTGAAACATTAGGTCTTAATTTAGATGAAATATCTCAAAAAACACAGCTAACAGATCAGGTAATAAAATTCAGTAGCAAGTCTCAGATGATCTTAAGAAAACATTCATTTCACAATGTATTCTTCCATTCACTGGATTTAAAGCTGGTATCTGAGGTCGATGGTAAAGTGGAATATTTAACTATTGTTGTAACAGGAAAACCAAGTGCACCTGAAGGGAAATTGTTGTGTGTATCCAGGATTCCTGATACAACTAGCGAAGTCAGGCAACAGCTAGATGCTGTAAAAGCATGGAAACTAGAAAAAACACTTGTTGCAATGATTTTTGACACAACTCCATCAGATTAGATAAGTGTTCTGCAAAGTTAAATGAAGAACACCTTTACAAAAAGTTATATTTTTGAAAGAGTTTTGTTTTCTGTTTACTTTAAGTTTTCAGAGAATGTAGATCTCCAAATTACGAGCCATTCAGACACTTTAAAAATAAGATATGGCCTAAGCTTTCATTAACCTCAGATACTACTTTTAGAAAAATAAAAATCAAAAAACCAGTATTAAAGACCAAACAAGCAGAAGTAATAATTTTTTTGTCTGGTTTACTAACCAGAAATCTCGAAAAATACTAAGAGATGATTATCAAGAATGTTGTCAACTTGCTTTGCAATTACTCAATCCAAAACAAATAAATATACAGTGGCACAAACCTGGAGCCTTCCATCATGCTAGATGGATGTGTACAATCTTGTACATCAAAAAATGTTTGCTGACCTGGCATAGTATGAAGAAAGTTTTATAGAGAAATTGTCAAGGTTTTGTAAATTTACTTTACTATTTTATGTGAAAATATGGCTTACGTGCACAAGCACAGTTGATGTCCCATTTAATGACTTGAAATTCTACAAAGAAATGCTTATTTATAAAAAAATTGACAATGATATTGCTGTTGCTGCCCTGGAAACATTTAATCTTTGGTATTTAACTGAAAAAATGTCTCTTTCATTATTTTCTGATAAGGTATCTGATTGTGATAAAACTAAAATTGCTAAAACAATTCTGAAAAATATAAAAGAAAACTGTGAGCATGATAAAGGCTTTCCACAATTTCCTCTTCTAAAGCAGAGTACTTGTTTGACTGATTTAATTAGATCAAAATCAAGTTCTAAATTTATTTGTATATTCAAATGAGGATGGTGGTTGGTTGGTAAAATCCTCAAGGTTTTAGAAAGCCAGCACAAATTTTAATCACGTTTCAGCATATCAAATCACTGAAATCTGTAAACGATACAGTATAACGAGCTGTTAAAATAATGCAAGACTATGCAGCATCCATTATAAAAGATGATGAGCAGAAAGAATTTCTTTTATGTGCACTAGAACACCACTGAAAAGATCTTCCTCACATAAATAAACAAGCAATTCAAAAACTTTATTTCTGAAAATATGACTAAACAATCTCTTTTTTTATTATACCTTTAAAATATTGTTATTTTGTTGTTATAATTTTAAAAAAAGATTTTGAATTTCTTAGTACTTATTCCCATTGTTTTTTAATATTATTAACTTATACCAATCATTTCTTTGCTTCTTTGTTTAATAATTGAATATTTATCAAGTTTTTTATTTTAATTAAAAATTTCAATTTATAAAATTCCGTATTTAGGCAGAAAATAATTATACGTCAAGGGTATTATTAGAAAGGATGGGGGGGGGTCATAAACCAGGTGAAAATTCTTAATAAATTTTTTATTTTATTTATTACAAAACTATTTGAAATTACAGTTCATTATATAGCTCTGATATCATTATAATAGCTCTGATATCACCACCAGTTCATTATATTAAGTTCATTATATAGCTCTGATATCACCACCAGTTCATTATATTAAGTTCATTATATAACTCTGATATCACCACCAGTTCATTATATTAAGTTCATTATATAGCTCTGATATCACCACCAGTTCATTATATTAAGTTCATTATATAGCTCTGATATTATTCATCGAGCAATCTTGCTGAATATATGCTCACAGTAAAATTAAACTTATTTATATATTATATACGCATTATGGTTTTTAAAGTATATAGAAATCTTAGAAAATTTGTTGTTATCAGTTGTATATATTTATAGATTTGCTATATGGAAAACCAGCAAATTGTCATAATTTGTATGAAGAGTATGTTTCATGCTCTGATCCAACCGGTTGTGGCACTGGTCCTGATAACCCTCCATGGGATTACCAGGTAATATATCTATAAGTTTGTTTTAAATTTTGTTATATATTTTTAATAAAAGATTATGGCTAAGGTTGACATATACAATTAGCATTAGTGATTTCATCTTTAGGCATGCACTGAAATGATTTTACCAGGTGGAAGTAACAATATTACAGATATGTTTCCTCATCTTGATTTCACATTGGAAATGAGACAACACTATTGCAGTAAACGTTGGGGTCTTGGATACTCACGATTAAATTGGCTTGCAACACAATATTGGGGAAGTTTAAATGATATAAAAAAAGCATCCCGTATTATATTTCCAAATGGTGATCTTGATCCTTGGCATACTGGAGGTGTTTTGGAAGATCTATCAGACTCACTGATTGCTATTATGGTTGAAGGTGGAGCACATCACTTAGATTTACGGTTTGAGTTTTTACATTTTAATACTTTTAATTATTGAAATTATTGAAGACTGTGAGTGAATTTATAATTTATAAAAAATTTAAATTCATAAAACTGTACCATCATTGTTGGTTGGTGGTGAAATTTTTATTTTGTTAAAATACTTTTAAGTTCCTTTTTTCTTTCTTTAGAGGTTCAAACCCAGCTGATCCAAAATCTGTCATAGATGCTCGTAATAAAATTACAGAAATCATTACTGGCTGGATGCACGAAGACCATATGAAAAAAATGTTTTAGAAACCTGTTAGTGAATGTTATAAAAACTTTATATATCATTTTTGTACTTGTTTTTTATAAACTTGATTCTTTATTTTATATTTATCACAATATATCTAATATTAATAACGTATGAATGAAAAATCGATATATAATATTCTATAATATATATGAAAAATTGGTATATATTATTAAATATATATATGAGTATAATATTGGATTTTTATTTTGTGATATTAACATATTGATAGTCTTTATTTCTTAAAAATAACTTTTACATTATTTGAATATGATTATGATAACTTTACATTATTTGAAAAGAATAATTTGATTTAAGGATTTCAAAAACTCGTAGCCCCCCTGCCCCCTTCTTCCTTATTCAAAATTTTATTATTCAAAAAAATTATTTACAAAATATCTTTTATTGGAAAAAAATCTATCGAAAGTATTTTTCCGGACTCAAATTCCATTCTATTTTTTGTTCACCTTTGGAAAGCTAGTCAGTTTGCTCTTCTTTGCAAATTCTCTTGACCGATAGTTGCAGGAAATCTAAATTTTGACGAGGTTTGGGCACTATGAAACATAGCGATTATATTAAATTATTTGTTTTTTTATTTAAATGGTTTATCATGATACGGTTGTGTAAGGATCATAAAAATTGCATAACTACACTACTGTACTGTTTTGTAAATTATTAGATAAACAAGCTTGTTTAACATAATCGGGTCAATAAAAATGAGCAATTACTCAGTGATTGCTCAGCTTTACGTAAATACAAATTCGAGCATTTTTCCTCAAATTTACGTGAAACTCGAGTAAATTGTTCAGCTTTACGTAAATAAAAATTTGATAGATTTTGGTCAAAAAACGCCGAGTAAAAGCGATTGCCTATTATTATTTACCCGGCCTGATAACTTTATCTATTAAAGCATCTATTAAAGCTAACTTTAATAACAACTAAGTTAAATAAAATAATTTCACCTCGGTGCGTATTTGTTTTATCCGTTGGAAAGTTATTTACTAATTCTAGTAATTCAATCTATGGTGTATTCTTTGGAAAACGCTATTATTTTACTAACTACATTCCATTAGTACTTAAGTGTTGTAAACGCATTTAATAAAATTATTTTTGAAAAGTTGATTTTTTATTTAAATGTGAGTTCAAAAAGAGTTTTCCGTTAATACAAGTTTAAATGTATGTTTTTGCAATATATTTCTTTTTTAACTTTTTCAGTCATTACCCATGCAAAAATTAGGAAAAGTTGATAAATAGAGTTGTCATGTTCAGGGTCGTCCCGGAGAGATTTTAAAGGATGGGGGGTGACGTGTCTGTTTTTTGCTGACTAAAGCCAAAAAAAACGTTTTTGCCCACTCACTTAATTAAAAAAAAAAAGGTTTTCCAAAATTAGCCGACAGCGAACTATAAATCCAATTTTGCCGACTCCAGTGTCCAATTTGCCGACCAATAAAATTTGTAGGGGGGCTAGACGCCATACAGGTTTGTTTTTTGGATTTGTTGCATGTAAATTTCAAAAATATCTTTAAATACCGATAAAACAAAATGAATACTTTTTTATCCAACTTCTAAAAAAAAAAGAAAAATCAAAAGATCTTGCCTGACTTACTTATTGACAGTACATTATTAAAAAGAGAAAAAAATACAAAATTCTTAGGAGTTATAATAGATGAAAACTTATCTTGGAGGCAACAAATTGATAATATCTCCATGAAATTTGCTAAAAGCATTGAAGTTCTATATAAAGTTAGACATATATTATATAAACATCAGTTAACACAGCCATATTATTCATTTATTCATTGCCATTTAAATTATGCAAATATAATATGGCGCTTACAAACTCAAACTGAAATTTTTCTATCGACATCCAAAGCACGCAGCTCGCACAATTAATTTTGCGAATCGTTTTTTAAGATCAACACCACCTCTTAAAGAAATAAAAGTTTTGAATATTTACAAACTAAATGTTTTGAATATTTTATGTTTTATGTTTAAATGTAACGAAAATATATCACCTAGTGTATTTATAAATCTTTATAATTTGAAACCTAAAAACAAATCTTTGTGCCAGTAAAAGTATCGAAGAGCCATTTTGTCAAACTAAAATGGACCAGTTTTGTATTTCTTATCGTGGTCCTTCTCTTTGGAGAAAATAATTCTACCTAATTTTGATTCTTCTTTTAAATGGTCTTATTCTTCTTTTAAACGGAAAGTAAAAAAATTATATTTTCAACACAGAGTATTTATATCTATTTTTAGTACTTAAGTTGTTGTTTTTTTTTTTTTATTTATACTTTATTTTGTGTATTATATAGACTGTGAAGAATATTAGAATATTTTATTCTTTTTATATATATATAGATTGTAAAGGGCTTCATGATAAGATCCTGTGATCTTCTACAAGTCCTGCCGGTAATTTATTCAATGTAAATTTACCTTGTACATATTCTGGCAAATAAAAAAACAAAAAACAAAAAAAGTTTATCTTACTTTTGAATATAAAGGATATTAAAAACATTTAGTTATTCATTTCGAATAAAAGAGGTTTGGCATGAGTATAAATTTATTAAACGTATCCAGGGCCGGCGCGAGTAGGTGTCACGTGGGGGAGGGGGTACCATTACAACTTTTGCCGACTAAAAAAAAATAGAAAAAATAAATAAAAAATAAAAAAATATAAAAAAGGTTCTAATAAATAAAAAATAAAAAAAAAGGGTCAAATTTGCCGACTAAATTAACAAAAAAATCATTGATGGGGGAAGGGGGGTGTCACACACCCCCCCTATCGCGCCGGACTTGAACGTATAAAGTGTTTCTTTTGCTGGTAAAGATAAAATCATCAATTTGTTAAAAAAAGTCCTCTACATCAAGTTTTTTCTTAGAAAAAAAAGGTCTTTTAAAAAAAAAGTGGGAGGGGGGGCGGTACCGTCGGCCATGAAAATGGAAATAACTTTTGATTGTTTTATTTAAATATCGTCTATATATATTAGAGGCAAATCATATGGCATAGGATTTTAATAAATTTTGGATGAAACAGAGTCCATTAGGTTTTTTCTTTGTTAGTTAGTAGTTTAATTCACTTTAAACCATTTTGAAATTTTAATTAGTTTTATTATGTTCATGACATGAAATAGTGTTTTGATATTTATACTAGACTCTTAGTATAGAATTTTTAAAAAGAATAAAATCATCTATTATGTTAATTATAATTGGAATACTTTTTGCTAAATTTAGACCAACATTAAAAAAGAAGTTATTTGTTCAAATCTCTTTAAAGTTATATAAAAACCATCACAGTTTTTAATAAATTTTGGTAAGTTTAATGTTTAGTTTTACGGCTGCCAGTACTTTCATTTAAAGTTTGCCATGTGCGTTTAGCATTATATTTAAACTTCTGTTGTAAGTTTGAGTCGTATTTTTTTAATATTTTTATTGCCTTTTAAAATGCTTAATGTGACTTTTATATACCACCGTATTTTTATTGTTTTTAGTCTTAAAATATATTTACTAAAAAAATGTTGACGTAATTAATGGACAGCCCCTTAAGAAAGTTTTCTGAGTTCTTGGTCGGTAAAATAGTCAAATAATTTTATGCTTAACGTGTTCATTTAAATTACGACCTGATTCAATAAACATATTAAACGTGGAAAATTTAAAAATAGCAAAGGTTAACAACAAACTAACAACCTATTAAAATAAAATAACGAATGGTAATAACAAATTAATAGCACATCAAAATTCATTATCAAAGTATCAACAGCCTGTCAAAATAACATAACGAATCTATAAAATGAATTCTTACAAACCGTATTCTAAACTTAGTATTAATACTGATAAAGTTATTACCTAATGATTTCAGTTACCCGGATAAATTCAAAGCGGATGATGATTTGGTAAAGAAAATTATCATTAAAAGATAAACATAATCCTTCTCGATTTTTTTAACTAAGATAGAACAAAAAAGATATACGAAATAAATAAGGCTGTAGTTTTTTATATTTTTTACCTTTGTTCAAACAAGAGTTTAAACTTGAAGTTTATTTTTCAAAACAATATTTGGAAAATAAAATTATAATTGAATTTTTAATTAGTTTTGTAACTCTATGTTAAACCGTTAAAATTTTTTAAATATTAATAAAGAATTATAAAATTCAATTTTTATACCCTTTTGTGTAATTACATTCAAAAAAAGTGTCATTTATACATTCTAAGTTGGAATATATAAATGACAGTTTCTAATATTTTAGTCTTAGAATCTATCACTCAAAAATTATTCATTTACACACTATACAAGTAACATCATACACTAAAAAGTTGTTTAAAAATATTTGATGCAATACTTAACAACTGTTTTAGCAATAGGCGCCGTTAATTATATGAATTTAATGGTGAATTTTGTGTCGTTGTCTTTCTCACCGACTTATAAATAGGAGGCCCCATTCTCTCCCCCCCCCCCCCAGCGTCAAAAAACAACAGCAATATGTTATTTAAGCTCCAAAATCTTTAAAAAAAAATTCTTTTTGAAATTACTCATTCATATAGATAAAAGAATCCTTAAATTTGAAAAAGGATTTCTAAATTCGCTAATTCTTCTTTTTCCCTATTAGAGCGTGGAGGAGCCTAGTCGCGGTTCTGCTTCCCGATATTGTTTGAATAGCTAGATCAGATTACCCATAATGGGTAAACAAAAACGTCATTATCTGAGGAATCATCCTACAAGCAGAAGCTAACATACTGGTAATTATGCTATCGATTAAAACTGCATAACTTTTAATCGACTGCATAATTACCCGTATGTTAACTTATGCTGTGTAATGTGCCAATCCATATTAAAAACTCTTTAAATTTTGTATAATTTATGTCAAATAAAGCTAAGATAACAAACAAAAAGAACTTTTTTTTGCCACATCTCATGGAAGATCAACATGTGACTTAGTAGTAGTTAAAATTTACAAACACAAGAAAGATTTTAAAGTGTAAAAATCAAATTCTTACTGTAGATGTTTGAGTTTTGTGTAAAATTGCAAGGAAATAAATTACATTCAAATACGGTAAAGTTAAATTGTTGTAAATAGTAATGTCATTAGTCAAAGATATGATTCCGGAATACTTTAAATTTCATGAGAGAGTTTAGGGCCTTTTTTTAATTAATTTATCAGATATGCTAACGTTGTGTATGTTCAAGCGTTGTGTTAAAGACCCTTTTGTAAGAAAAATAGAAACCCAGCTGCTGGTATATATAATATAAATGATGAAAATCCCTGTAATTCTCTTAAACTTTTTTTTTATACTTATAGATATACAAAGGTGTTACATCGCACATTTATTTAATTTACTACTAATAAATTAAGTCTATTGAATTTATTAATTCTATCATAATTATTATTGTTATTATTGCTATTATCGTTATTATTGCTATTATTATTATTATTATTATTATTATTATTATTATTATTATTATTATTATTATTAATTCTAATATAAAATTAAGTTTGTTAAATTAAATTTATTAAAATGAGTAATGTTAGGTTAAAGTATTTTTATGGATTTATGAAAAACACTAGTGTTTTAAACTAAAGTCCTCAGCGAATCTTGCAGCTAACAACAACCTGGATTTCTTCTTAATAATTTTTTATACAATTTCCATTAACTGTTAATGGGAATATTAATGGAAATTCAGGGTTAATGTTGAAAGTTGAATTATAAACACTTGTTCTTAATAACATAACACATGCTTAGTAGACCTGTTCAAAATTATTTTCAAAATTGTGGGTTGACTCCTAAATTTGCTTTATGTAATAATTAAGCTCTTGATTCAACAATTTGTTTAAGAAAATTTTGTTTTAGCTCAAGGTTCTTAAACACTTGTGCTGCCCTAAAACATTAACAAAATCAACCTAATTTAAAAACATCAAAAGTATTTTTATTGTGAAAAAAAAAACATAAAAAAAGATTTTTTTTTTACTTTATATATATATATATATATATATATATATATATATATATATATATATATATATATATATATATATATATATATATATATATATAATATATATATATATATATATATATATATATATATATATATATATATATGCATATATACAGCATTATTTTTGCAATTCAATATACATTAGTATTATGAAAACTTAAATTGGCAGTAGTAGATAATGTTAATAGTCAAATAATTATTTAAATTTTTACTTGTGTTTTTTGTTTGAATTAGAGTTTAAAAAAATAACTACATAAACTGTAAATATATTTCTAAACTATGTTGACTTTTTGTATTTTTAGTTACAAAAATGCAAATATTAGTATTACTTTTAAGTATAGTAATTTCATTAGCTCAAGTAGATGAGGAAGATATACAAAGAGCTCATCAGCAATATGCTGATGCTCTTAAACATGATGGAACAAAGCGTGTAGTGGCAGCTGATGCAAGTAATTTAGATCAACTTCTTAAAAAGAATCGTTTAGTATATATTTTATTTTGGATAGACAATAACCAAGCTACTGAAAAACTGAATGAAAATGAGTTAAACACTTTAGAAGTAAGTTTTTTTTTAAAGTTTTTACATTTTATTTTGTTTTCAAAATATTTATCAACTTTACATTATTTAAATTTTTGAGCAATTCATACTTAGCTGTGCATAAAACATTGATGTAATTAATAATAATTAATAAATAAATAAAACATAATGTCATTCTGAGTATTTTTGAGCATTAAAGCTAGGGGTTAAAGTAGGGGGGAAGGCAGCCATTCCTCCTTAGCTGACAAATTAAGAAATCATTCCGCTTTGCTCAATATTTCTTTGCAACCGTTCCACCTCATTTTTGAGTTGTTTTTTTTTTTTACAATGGATTATCCACAAGTTACGCAATGCCTAATTTATCTCTTTCAAATAGTAGATCGTTTTTACTTTGTGCGCAAATTTTTATTGAAGTTAAAGAGCTATTATAGTTTTTGAAAAAATTTATGATATTAAGTACTAGTCATCACACAAGATTTTGAAATATTGCAAAAGTGCACCTAATAAAAATACACCTACAGAAAATGTAAAGGTATGATTCCTGATCCGAATGGGCTATTCCACATCCATTTGAACAAACAATTTGAATTTTTTAACACCATTCTACTTGATTTACTATTCTACTTTAACCCCTGTATATATATATATATATATATATATATATATATATATATATATATATATATATATATATATATATATATATATATATATATATATCAGTGATGTACACTGGACTATTGGATGAAATTTGAAATTTATTGATGATTATAAACTTAGATAAAAATACTAAAAAAATTATTTTATCAATTTGTTGCTCCCATGTTAAGGGCTGGGTGGGCCCAAAAATTGGGTTTTTTTTGTCCCCAAGCTCCAATCACCACAACTCTTTGCAAAATGTTCTCATTTGACATAAGCATGAACATACAAAAGTTTGAAGTTTGCACAATACCTCTAAGTGTCAAAACTCAAACATCTAAAAGTGCAGTGTACATCACTGATATATATATATATATATATATATATATATATATATATATATATATATATATATATATATATATATATATATATATATATATATATATATATATATATATATATATATATATATATATATATATATATATAATCGATTGCTAAATTAGCATCTGCCAAGATTGCTTCTCTTTATTGTGCTCGCCATTTTCTCTCTCCTCATTCCATTCTCTACCTCTACAAATCTCTTATTCATCCTTGTATGGAATACTGTTGTCATGATTGGGCTGGTTCTTCTAATGATGCTCTTTCTTTTCTAGACAAGGTCCAAAAACACATTGTAAACATAGTTGGACCTGTTCTATCTTCTAAGCTTGAGCTTTTTTCCCATTGTCCTTAAGTTGCATCTCATTCTCTTTTCTACAAATACTATCATGGTTGCTGTTCAAAGGATTTATCTCTAGTTCCATCAACTAAAACTCATTTCCGCTTGACTTGTTATTCATCAAAGTCTGTTTTCCTGACTCATACAACCTTCAACTTTTTAACTCTTCTGTCAACAATTTCCTTGCTTTATTACTCTATGCCTTTTTTTCTAGTAACTCCCAATTTAATAGTGCTTGCTTGCAGCCTTGTTGGGAGTAAATCAGAATTAAAAAAAAATTAGTGTTATCAGTATACATTTTAGGTAGAAAAGAGTTTATTGGGAAGGTAATTGATATAAATAACAAATAATTCTGGATCAAGTACAAAACCTTGTGGAACTCTGCTAACAACATCAGTCTACTCTGAAATAAATTTACTAAGAACTACACACTGTGTCTGGTTAGATAGGAAAGAATTTAGCTGTTTGTGAGTTTTACCTTGAATTCTATTTTTAAGTTATCTTAAGTTATCTTAAGTCTTTTATGAGTTACTTTGTAAATGGAAAGGATTGACACAATCAAGAAAGATTATGTTAACAGTATTTTTGTTTGAAACTGGTTTGATTGCAAATCTCAGTGTTTCTTAAAGAGTAATGTAATATTAACACAGGAACATTTTGTCAGGAACATTTCAAGAATTAAGAGATAATTAAAACAAAAGTGCAAGTGGTATGAACCAAGTTGTAGTTTAATTTTCAAGTACATGTGGATTTACTTCAATTTCAATTGATATGTAAGTGTCTAAATTTTAAAAGTTAAATTTTTCCATGGTAATTATTAGATCTGAGAGACAGCGTTGGTGCGAAATTTGTAATTTATTTTTGGTAATTAATTTGGTAGTGAATCACTTTCTTTGAAATTGAGCTAAATTGCTTGTTTAGAGCATCTTCAATTTTGGTTTTGTTAGCTCTATTTTTATTTTAAAATATTGTTGAGATATCATTTTTGACAGTTTTTTCTATTAAAGTTTCTGTTGAAATATGCATACAGGCATTTTAATTAATATTGTTGGTAGTAAGTGAATATTCAAATGTTCAAATACATAACTTTGTTTGAATACGTATATATACATAAATACATAACATTTTTTGTCCACAATATAATGGTCTTGCTTTGTAAATGAGTAGTGCAGAGTTAGTTGTATCACTGATTCTCTCAGGAGATTTAGAAATGACATAATCTATTGGATTATTTACCAGCATTTATGAAACTTAGAAAAATGGTTGCTTGTAAAAGAGCTTTATCATTAAGCATACCAATAAATCTTTTACCAGGGCTGTTATATATAAGGGCAATTGAAGTCTCAGGAAAAAAACAAAACAAGATATATTTTATTTTTTGCTGAATCGTTTGCTGTATTTATTAGAAATACTTATACTGATTTTGAAACCATTGAAGTAGGTAATAACTATGTCATCTTTTCAAAAATATCCTTGTTATCATCAGTCATCCACAGACATTTAATATTGTTGCTTAAACAACCTAAGAATTATCCAAGAACCAAAAACAGACAAACAGTTGCCAAAAATTTTGTAATCATCAACAAATTGTTGATAATTGCCAAACTGTCATTGTTACTGAAATATTAAAATGTTATTACGCAGCAAAGAGGCATCTGTATTGTTTTCACAACATAAACTCTTAAAATTTTTTAAAGAACCTTTTTGACATAAAACATTTAGCAACAATGGAATCAATTGTAACCAGAGGAGTATGTGCCTGATTTAGCAATTTGGAAAAGTGCATGAATAAGCATTTTAACTTTCTGAAATACCACTGACTGTCCAAAGAAACATCTCAGAGATTTGAAGAGATAAAAAAGCACCAAGCATAACCCTAACCTTGCCATTTTTTTTTAACCTTGCTATTTTTGCGCACAAGTACATATTCATAGCTGTGACATCTGTATGTTTAGAATTTATTTTTTAGACTGGCAGCGTATGTGGTCAATCAATAATATGCATCTATTGCACCTGAAACAGTAGACATGTTAGTATTTCTGAACTGTTTCAGGGGCTTGTTCTATCTGTCTGAAGTACTATCTTGATATCTAAAGTAAAATGAAATTTTTATAAAATAGATTATTATAAATAGAGTATTTTAACTTTATGAAATAGTTATAACTTTATGAAATAGTTATAACTTTGGAGGGTTTACTTTATGGAGTGTTTATAAATATAATTTTAAAAAAATATTTAAAAAAATTTTTTTAACAGGTACCTGTCTGTTTGTTTGATGGGTATATGACATTTTAAAGGTTTTTCAAAAGTCTTGGTTCCTAGTTATAATTAAATTAAAATGCAAATACTTTTCTTATTTAAAATGTAAATGCTTTCCTTATTTTTTGATTATTTCATTATTACTTTTCTATTGAAAAGAAAGTTATTTCATAAAAATTTTTGATTGGCTTATAATTTTAGATAGTTGCACAAGTATTTGAAAGTCAAAGCGTTAAGTTCTGCACTTGCGAAGTTATGGCTAATCAAAAGTTTGCTGTATCTGCAGGTTGTAATAAACAATATTTAATAATATTTACAGGTTGTAATAAATAATATTTAATATCTGCAGGTTGTAATAAATAATATTTAATAATATTTGCAGGTTGTAATAAACAATATTTAATAATATCTGCAGGTTGTAATAAATAATATTTAATAATATCTGCAGGTTGTAATAAAAAAAATTTTTTGATTACAAAAAATTTTTTTTATTACATTGGTAAGCGTTATTAATCTGCCTATGTTGTTTCTGTTTTTTTAGGAGTTAAATATACTGGAATGGTAAAAATATTTAACAATGGAAGACCGTCTACTTATTCTGGTCAGAGGTAATTTTTAAGTTTGTAAACATCATATTGAAGGTTTTTGTTTAATATAATATTTAATAAATAAATATAATATTTAATATTTATTATCATATTTAAATTTTATTATGTTTATAATATATTTATTATTATTATTTTTTTAATATAAATTATTATGTTTATAATATATTTAGTATTATTTTGTTTTATTTAGGGCAATCAAAAATATGCTTTACAAAAATATCTTTTATTAATACAATTTATATTTTGAAAAACCAATAATAAGCAATTAAAATATAGAAAATATGCTCCATTAACATTTTCTTCTTCTATGCTTCAACTTAAATGAACATTTATTTGTATTGTTTTGTTTTATAACAAAAACAGGTTTGGTTTTGTTGGTTTGTTTCCTAAAAACAAGTAACTAATGAAATGTAACAATATATATTTATTCAGATAAACTTTTCATTTGCATAAAAAAAACATTTTGTTAAAATTTTTAAAAGAAAAATTAGTTTATTAGCTGTGACTAAAAATACTTTTGTGCATAGAAATCTTCTTTCAATTTCTACAGATATTATTGAGGCATAATTCAAAGCTAAGGTCTTCAAAATATTGGATTAATAGATAATCCACATTGTTCTGATGAATAAATCCACATTTCTCTGAGATGTTTTTTAAAATATCAAAATCATTTTTTTTTTTTTATAGTTAATTGTTTTAATTTATTTTTAATTGAATATGTTTTTTCATTTATTTTTAAAATTGCATCACTAGCAGCTATTTAGCATATATAATAGTTCATAAATTTCTGGTTTTTAATTGTTAATTTTAGAAATCCATAACTTTGCTCTTATTGACAGGTAATCTAATAGACCTTTTGAGATTTTGACTAAAGCTGCCTTCACTAAAGTACTTAATGTAATTTATATACAATACAAGTTAAGTGTGTTATTTTTGGGGAAATTATTTATTTCTTTCTTTAAGCTTACACTATTTGTGGTACAGCATCAGAAATAAACAAATAAAAAATGGTCTTAATTTTGTCAAAGAATTTTAGTGATTATAAACTAATCGCTAAAAATCTTTGACTAGCTTTTACAAGTTCAGTTAAGTTTGATTAAAAGTTTTGGTTTTCTAAACTTTTTGCTCTTAATTTAATATTCCTGAACTAAATCTTGTTTTTCCTGTCTTCTTGGAAATGTGGTTTCAATTTTTTTTTTAAATCTGGCAATTGTTCCTATGGTCTATTCTTGTCTAGTAATTGTTCTGACCCCTATGGGGTCTAATAAGTCTTCTTACAAAATATCATTCAGTAAATTAAATCATTGTTTAAGATGCATCTAATATCTTATATTGTGCCTAAACTCTCTGAAAATCAAAATACAAATTTTGGTCAGCTAAATATACTTCTGACTTGTTAACCAAAGAAAAAAAAGTCAACACAAAGTTTTTTACATCTTTTAACTGCTCCTTAATGCTTATAAAGCTGTTTAACTCTGCCCTAGAATTATCTCTCGTTTTCATAGAGCTATCTCCCGTTTTCATTTATAATTTAGTTTTTTTCTGTAACATTGTGTTTCATGGTTTTTTCATGAATAAAATTTCATGTTTTACTGGAAATGAAAGAGATGAATGAAAATGAAACGAGTACTGGAAATGAAAGAAGAATGTTGACCATTAAAAACAACTTTAATACTGCAGTTATAAAAGAATGATTCAATAATTTTAAAATCTTTTCCAGATATACCATATGAAGCCACTTTATGGAGAAAACCAGCATGCCAGACTTCATGGAGAAAACCAGAATGCCAGACTTTGTCAAAAGTTTTTGATATGTCAAGAGCTAAATCTCTTTTCTTTACCCCCTCTGCCCAATGCACAAAGCTGTTATAATAGTTAGCAAATCAGCTGTAAAACACTAAATTGGTAATGAATGGATTAAAGTGGTAATGAATGAGTTATAAACTTCCTAGTTAAATACTATTTCTTTTTTTCTAACAGTGCTCTATAGTAAGACCATAAGGACTTCTATGATCACCTTAATAACAACAAAAAATGAAAAAAGGAAAAAGGGTCAAAGTGTTCTCCTGTTTTTGTATTGGATGTATTTAAAAAAGTCACGGATGCCATCTTCCAGTACACAGAAGAAAAAAAGGTTAAGTTGAGTACTTAACTAAATAGTAAAGAGAATACTGAATAGTGTACGGAAGAACACTTTTGTAAAACTATCACATAAATGTTGTCTGAACCACAAGCTGTAGAAGGTTTTAAGAGAGACTATCACATGAATGTTGTCTGGACAACAAACTGTAAAAGATTTTAAGAAGGTAATAAACTGTAGAAGGTTGAAGAGAGACATAAGTTTAGCAAATAAAGACTAGTTTAAATGTCTACCTTTTAATCTAGGATGGGAGGAAAAGTTGGAAAGGAAAAGAATAATAAGATTCAAGACAAATTAGAGGAAAAAATTTCCTTTGCAATAGTTCTGATTATTCTTTGGAAAAGTAAAAATATACAAAAAGATACATAAAAAGTTGTTATTTTTAATTTTTGAGTTAAAATATGAGATTTAGTAAACTGAGAATAATGGAGCTTAGCCTCATGTAGCATCTTTTTGCATTGATTTCTTGCAACAAAATAAATGCATTCTCAACGTTTATTCTTGTAAAAAAATTAATTTCTATAAGAAATATCTTCTACACAAAAAGAAGCTATGCTGTAGAACAAGGCTTGACTCAAAACTGACTCAAAACTGACAAAAACAATAAAAGCTCTCATGTCTTCCTGAGTCTAGGAGATTAAAAAAGAGACACAATTATCAGTGGAGAGATAAAAGACATAACCCCAAGGACTGTGATAAAGATAATCATACACACAACTTATTATTTGTAATAAAAAATGTGATTATGTGGAGCACAAAAAAAAAAAGAAAAGACAAAATGTAAATCAAGGAGTTATCTCAAAAATAAGTTATAAAGTTCTAAATAATAAATAGCTAACTGAGTAAGAATAGAAGACAAAAGTTTTAATCTGTGTCAGCAGGATTAGCGGTACTGTAGCCAAACCATTTATTGCGATGAGTAATAAAGTCACCTACAATGATATTGGCTGAGGGATAATAAGGAAGGGTTCTTCAATTTAATCAGAAATAATATCTAAAAGAGTAAAGTCTTTAGAAGAGGAAGAATTATAAAGAACAAAGGGGAAGGTGATCAAGCAATGAGGAAAGGTGATAAAGCAATGAGGGAAGGTAATTAAGCAATGAGGGAAGATGATCAAGCAATGAGGTGCTAAACAGAAAAAACATAAAAAATTTGTTGGAGAAAATGTCTGAAAGCTATTACAGACTTTGTGAAACTTACTTCCAGACTCTAAAACTTACCAGCCTCTCATTAAAGAGATCAGCCTCTCTTATAATCATTAAATTAGCTGCATCCTCATAAATATAAACCTTAACTGGAGATAACAGGATACAAAGCTATCAAGGAGGCTTAACACCAACAAGTTCTTAAGTATCCTAAGAAGGAAACAATTTAACATAAATTATATTTATGTGCTTACCCAAAAGTCTTTGCTTAGGAGGCATTCTACAAAACATTAACAATTTAATATAGATCAATTTAACATCTGCCCAAGATAAGTATTTTTTATCAAGACATTTTTTTTCTAGTTTTAATTTAATTAAGAGTCCCAAAGTAATTAAAGCTACCATGTCTACTTGAATCAAAGAGATTTCAAGATTTTTAGTCAAAGAGATTTAAAGAGGTTTTTATTAGAGAGAAAAGATATTGCTAAAAATCATTAAAAAAATTTCCATTCAGCTTTAATAGATAGTAGTATAAAATTTCAAAGCTTGATGCAAATCTTTCTATAATTGTTTTTCATGATTTCAAAAGTTTTAGAATTTTTCATTTGTATTTGATCTTTATGATACAATCTATAAAACACTTTACTTTAAAGTAAAAAATTAATGAATGTACTTTATTATGTAAGACTTTATGGTCAGTTTCCATATATTTTAAATGGTAGCAGGACAGTTGTATGATTGTTGGAAGTCAGATGTGCGACCATATGGAAACATTGGTCGTACCTATTACTGTACTGTATGGAAACATTGGTCATGTGACAAATTTTGTCTTGCAAGGTTGTTTTATAGTTTTGCTATTGGTGTTCTAGAAATAGAAATTATTTCTATTGAAAAAATTTTTTTTTCGCAACTTTTTAAAAAAAATGAATGTTTATACAATTTAAAAATATTATATACAGCTCTTAATCAGTTTAAGAGTGATCAATATTTATAAAATAGATCAAAATATATATTCACAGTCATTTCACAATTGCTTAAACCATTTTTTCATGTTATGAGAAATAAATAAAAAACTTGCTTTTTTTCCTCTTTTTTTTCTAATTTTTTATTGTGATGTCAGAGAAAAAATAGCAATTTTTTTAAAAAGTTTTTTAAAAGTTTTTTATTTATTTCTCATAAGATAAAAAAATGATTTAGGCAATAGTGAAATGATTGTGTTTTTTTCATTTAAATATTAAATATTTAAATGAAAAAAATACAACTTTTTTATGGGATTTTAAGTTTTATGCCTTTTAGCAACCAGTCAGCCATCTATTTATAATCATTAAAATAAAAACCATTATAAAAAATACAAAATTGCATTGCAGTGAGATCAAACATCAGTTTTTACGCCAAACAGGAATTTATTTAACCACTGTTAAAATTTGATAGCAAAAACTTTTTTCTGTGCCTACATGCTCGGTTTAGTTAAGGCATTTGTGCGGTAGTGGTGTAGTGGTAGAGCGCTCGCTTCATAAACGAGTGGTTCCGAGTTCGATCCCCACCACGTCCCTGGTAGTACCGTGCTCAACTCGTTTCTCCGCGCAGCAGCCTTGCTCGTCAAGGTTCTTGTTTCGGAGTTATAGAGTTGAGAGAGTGTTATAACCACAAATAAGTAGCCTCCTTGTCTGTAGTGGCCTTCTCGGCCTCGAAGAGGTGAATTAAAATTAAAAAAAAAAAAAAAATTGTAAAATATTGTAGTGTCTGTAAGATATTTTGTTGACTACAACATATTTTGGTTAAATGGTCAGGTCTGTGAATTATAAAGACTAAAAATATTAAAATGATAAATTTTACAGTATCATAAAGTATAAATGTTTGTAGCAAAAAAACCTAGACCGAAGATTCTTTTTTTTAAAAAAAAATCATTTTAAAATCACAATTGCTCATCCAAATTTAAATAAGATTTTAAGTTAATACGTTTTTTAGGTGAAATAAACATAATTTAACAATATGATCTGTTCTGATTGTTTATTGAAAATTTTCCATAATTATCAAGGGTTGAATTAAGCAATCGCGAAATGCAAAATTTGGAAAAATATTTGGTTTTCAAAATTTTAATTTACAAAAAACCATGCTCTTTGTTTTTAAAGGGCGAATCAACTTATATTTGTTAGCAAAAAACTTATAAAAAATAAAATAACAAAACAAAAACTTACGACTACAAAAGTAATAACACTCTAGTAACTAACTGTATTATAAAAATAATAAAACTATAATAGTGTTATTACTTTTATAATGCTTTTTTAACTTTTATAGTTCATTCTTTGTTCAAACAACATAAGTAATCCCAAATTTTAATTGAAGTAGAAAAGCATCTAGAAATATTGAGTGGATATTCAAATAATATTCAAAACTTATTTAGGAACTTAAACAACTTTATAAAAACGTACTGTATAAAAAGTTTAGCATTATGAATAACGTTACTAATGGTCCATAAAAATGCGTGTTATTTTTTAAATTTAAACGCGCTTTAACTTTTTATTGGTTGATTTTAAAATTAATGCCCGTTTTTACAAACTATTAGCAATGCCAATCTTATAGAGTTGTTTAAGTGTATTTGTAAAAGTTCCTGAAGTTTTTAATAATATTTGAATATCCACTTTATTTTTTCTAGATGCTTTTTTATTTTGATTAATGTTTGGAATTAGTATTCAATTGTTGTTTGTCAAAGAATGAACTTAAAAAGTTATAAGTGCTTTATAAAAGTAATAACACTATTATAGTTTTATTACTTTTAAAATGCAGTTAGTGACTAGAGTGTTATTACTTTTGTAGTCGTAAGTTTATTATTTTGTTTTATTTTTATAACTTTTTCGCTAACAAACTTATAATAATTTGCTCCTTGAAAACAAAACTTTGCATAAACAAAAATTTTGAAGACCAAATATTTTTCCAGATTTTGCAAATTGTGATCAATTAATTCAACCCTTGATTATAAGCTCTTGTTTGGTCAAAATTCTACAATTTTTTGTGAAAATTGATAGAAGTATTGTGTTTTGACAACTATATATAGTTAATATATGTCAGAATCAATTAGAACTGAAATCAATAGTAAATTAAGGAACTTTTTCAAAAGATTTTAACTAAATTCATGTTAATGCCGATGAGCAGAATTGATCTAAAGACTCCAAAATATGTTCTTTAGATTCCCAATTACGGGTAGTAAAAAGGTTTTGAAAGTTATATAAAAAAAAAAGAAAAGTTTCTTTAAATATTTAAAAAATCTTAAGCAAATATATATTATAAATTATATTAAAAATTATAAAACTTTTGTTTGGACATAATACGCTGATAAAAGTATTTGAATGATTTGTAAACCGCCTTAACTTCACCGAGTGCCAAAACCAATTCACTTTTTTTATTTAACAAAGTTACTTTGTTGTATATCAAAATAAAATAATTCTCACTCATGCAAAGATTATATCTTTTTGAGGATGGGTTATAAGGTTGACATTTTCAAATAATACTCAACTTGATTATCAGTTTGATGCCTGCTTCCTTAAGTTTCCAAATCTTCTAAAAAAATTCAGTGTAGTTTTTATACCTGACCAATTTAAATGGTTTTATCTGGTTTCAAGCCTGATCTTGAAGTGTTTTCACTTATACCAATATAAGATTACTTAGCATGATTGACATTAGATGGTGTTAGAGTAATCTTATAAAAAATATTTTTAGTTAGGCATTGATTTTCTAAAGGACACATAGCTCGATTTATACAGTTACATTTTCTAACATTATTGGTATTTTTAATGCACAAAATGTGTTGCTTGTGTGACTTAAAAATAGTACTGATATTTGGCATGCAGCTGTAACTTATTTTGACAGTGTTTTTGTTAAAAATTTTGTACAGCTTGTGGTGTGCTGGAAAATATAAGTCAATTAAATTCAAGAAAATGTTTCCTATTTTGTGAAAACGTTCTGACTAAAAGGGGGATTAAACCATATGTTTTGTTTGCGTCTATTAATATCAAGGTTAGTTTTGAGTAAATTTAAATTAGGATAATATTAAATATTGTTGCTATGTCCAGACATTATAAGGGTTTCTTTGTAAATAGGAGTAGATTTTTCAAAAATTATTTTGCTGGAGGAGTATGATGACAATCTTTGTTCAATAGAGTTTGGCAGCTGTTTTAAAATACTTGGTGGGTAATAAGAGCTGGCATAGATATAGTTTAACAAACTTTCAGGTTTATGGCATGGTTTGAAGCTGCAGTCGCTAAGGTTTAATGTAATATTGAGATAATTTACTATTTTTATGTTGCATTGAAAAGAAATATTAAGGCTGTTACTTTTGAATATCTGAGTTATATGTTTTTTAACTTTTTCCATTTGTGGATTGCTAGCATTTTTAATCACAGCCAACCCATTACCTCTATACAGCCCAAAATCAAACTTGTTATAAAACTGAGAAATTTAGAAAATAAGTAGAAAATAAGGAAAATTTCAACCAACTCACATACCTCAGCACCATCAAATGCTCCATATCTATATGTAATACACACATATTTATTCAAAATGAAATACATATGTATTCATTCATAAAAATAAATACGTATGTATTATATATATATATATATATATATATATATATATATATATATATATATATATATATATATATATATATATATATATATATATATATATATATATATATATATATATATATATATATATATATATATATATATATATATATATATATATATATATATATACATATATATATATATATATATATATATATATATATATATATATACATATATATATATATATATATATATATATATATATATATATATATATATATATATATATATATATATATATATATATATATATATATATATATAGTTTTGCTTGAATAAAAGTTTTTTTTGTTAAAATAAAGTTAAGCACATTTGTATTTTGACTATTGTTTGTTTAAGATCTCCTGATGTTATTATCCCTTACATTAAAAAGGTACGTTTTTTATCACTTATTATTTTAATTTATATTATTAAACTTAAAATTATTAAAGTTATAACTAAATATTTTTTTATAAATATAAAACTGTTAAATTATTACTGTTTTTTTGTAGTTTTTATTTTTTTTATTTATAATTTGTTATATTTACAATTTTCAATATTGTTATTTCAATTTTTTTATTTTATTTATAGTTTATTTGTATTAATATAACTTGAATAATTGAAAATTAATTTTACTTAAAAAAATTATTTAAAAAGTTAAGTTATAAAGTATGAATGTAAAACAATAAAATTTATGTTGTATTTAATAGGTATTAACTTTAGTTACATTCGATGGGTTAATTTTAATTTTAACTTAATTTAGATGTTTATTAGTTTAATAATGAAACTTGTGAATAGGTTTTAACTGATGAATGAGTTTTAATTAAATTAGTTAACTTTATTTTTGAAACTTGCTAAATGATGATAAAAAAAAAAAAATTATATTTTTCTCCATACTTTTTTCCAAAACTAATTCAAATTATACAGGCTTGGTCGGGAAGCGGGAGCGATCGCTCTCGATTGCTGACCACATAAATAATATTTAGTTGCGAAAAGCTGGCCAGATTTTTTAGTCGTTTTGAGAACATTTTTAAAAGCAAAAAAAAAAAGCGACTAAGATTAATTGGACCGATGAGAGACAATTACAAAAAAAAAAAAAAAAAAATAGGCAAATAAGATATCTTTAAGTGCAAAAAAACTTAAAGCTAAATAAATTGCATTTAGAACTAATATTTTCGAAACATCGCTCTTTTACAATTTTTTTAATAAAATTAAGCGACGTTTTTTATATAAAGTAACAACTTACGATTGTTTAAAAGGGAAACAAATATTCTTTATTTAACTAAGTTTGGAAGTTTTAGTTTTACTTAAGCTAAATTATTTTATAAATAAAGTAGTTTGAAAAGTTCAACATATTTGAAGCGATTCTTCTTAGTTAGATAAACAAATGAAATAATTAAATCATTGAATTACTATAGGAATTAAATTATCAAGATAGAAATCAACTAAAAAGGTTAAAAGTACTTAATGACCAGGAAGCAAAACTAGTTCACAATATCGCTGATGATGTTTAGTGAGTGGGCTTTTTAATTTTAATTAGTATTTAAAGCAGAAAAAAGTTTAACCAGTTTCAAGGATGGCAACTTAAGCGAAAATAATTAGAGTTGGTAAACCAATATCTAGAAAATTTTCTTTATATCTAATTATTTGCTATATATATTTGCGTTCTGTCGTGACCTCAGGCACGATGCTTGTTCATCCGCGAGTTACTTTGTATGCGTTGTTTGTGTTTAGTAACCAGAAACTTCTTATATTTTGTTACATAATTAGTTTTATTAACTTTAACTATTATAACTTCATTGAAAACGCAATTATTTTTGTAAGTCTTTGTTTAAATCATAAAAATTGCTTTAAAAGATACATTATGATAAAAAACAAATACACAAAATTACATTTACATAAAGAATACAATCTTTTTTAAAATAAAAAAATAAGAATATACTAATAAAATCTATGATTTATAATAAACTTTTAAAATTTTAACAATTTAATTAATATATATTTAAAACATTTATTTTCGTAAACAAATAATATATATTCTTAAAACAATGCTAGAAATCTCAAAACGAAACAAATCGTGAATAATACAATTTCTAAAACAATTTAACAGAATACTCTAGAACTTTATTTCGCTTAATCAGCGTATTTTTTGAACCAATAGAATTAGTTTGTTCGTTAATTTGGCGGGTTTTTAGTGTTCGCAAATATTCTTTTTATTCTTTCGCACAAGAACATTCAAGTTTTTTTAGGTTTCCATGTATGTCCATTACAAATTTTTTTTGTTTCATACATAAACTTAAATGTTCTCAAAACGACTAAAAAACCTAGCCAGTTTTACGCAACTAAATATAATTTCCGTGGTCAGTATTCGAGAGCGATCGCTCCCGCTTCCGACCAAGCCTGATTATATTAAAGGAAATAACTTATATAAACAAATAAACTATTTCTAAAACTATTTCAAATATTTCTTTATAAAAAAATAGTTTTTCTAAAACTGAAAACCACTGTCAACGTCATCAAAGTTATCATCATCATCATTATCATCATCATCATCATCATCATCATCATCATCATCATCATCATCATCATCATCATCATCATCATCATCACTCATCATCATCATCATCATCATCATCATCATCATCATCATCATCATCATCATCATCATTGTCATCATCATCATAAAAAAATAAGAAGGAAACAACTCATAGGCATGATGAAAATCTTTATACTTGGGTTGTTTTGAATTGACTCGAGGTGAAATGAGTTGAATTGCAATGACTTAATATGGCTTATGGTGACATAAGTTGAATTTATGTGACTTGTTGTCGTTTTTTAGTTTATCTTGGTTCAAATATTTTTTTCTATTAGATGATGGAAAATCCTGTGATTGTTATCGTTTTTTAGTTTATCTTGGTTCAAATATTTTTTTCTATTAGATGATGGAAAATCCTGTGATTGTTATCGTTTTTTAGTTTATCTTGGTTCAAATATTTTTTTCTATTAGATGATGGAAAATCCTGTGATTGTTATCGTTTTTTAGTTTATCTTGGTTAAAATATTTTTTTCTATTAGATGATGGAAAATCCTGTGATTGTTATCTCTTCACGTGCAGAAAAAAAATATTATGAATCTCAAGAACTGCCAAAAATTATTGCATATTTTGAGAAAGACAGCAAAGGTAAAAATTTTAATTGTTTTAATTAATAAAAAATATTTAGAGATCTTAAATTATAAATAAATTAAATAAAGTTTTTGTAATTAAACTTCTTTTTTATTATTTTTAACTTTTATAAAAGCACATTAAGAAAAAAAAATGTTTTTATATATTTTTTTAAAGAAGTTTTAATCTCTTTAAAAACAAAAAAATATTTCTCAATGAAAGAAAAATTATTTTTTTTTATCACAATAGACTCTCTTATTTATTTGCACACATAATTAATCAGATTTGGCCAGGGTTCAGTTATAATTTTTGGATAACTCTTAGGTAGTCGAACAAAAAAGTTTAATTTGATATTTTTTATGGTTTTAGTTAATTTGAATTTTTGGTTCCTTAAAATGATCTAATTAATTACTAATAAAACTCTCTAGGTAAGTTGAACTTTTTCTGGGCACAACATTTTTTTCTGGGCTCAACATTTTTTGTGGGCTCAACATTTTTTTAATAACATAACAATCAAAATAACTTAATTAAAAAATTTAATTTAAAACTGAAAATGTTTGAGGTTTTACATTTTTCAATTTTTTTTTATTTTTTTATTTTTTTATTTAATATTAAGTTTTAATTAAATTTTTTTGGAATAAAGTAGTTGATGCTATTCAAATTATTAAACAATGAATTTAATATAAAAACAATGAAAATGAAACAACAAATTATCAAAATTATTTACAAATAATTTGTTTACAAATTAATTACAAAATTTTATTGCACATTTTAAAATAAGATAGTAATAATAATAAAGTTTAATTAATAATAAACACAAATTTGTTGCTACTGGGTTACATGTTACCAATAGTAATCCTGCTACTGGTAACATGTAACCCAGTACAACCTACTTTATGTCCTGCTGCCTTATTATATTAAATGAAATAACTTATATAAACAAATAAACTATTTCTAAAACTATTTCAAATATTTCTTTATAAAAATATAGTTTTTCTAAAACTGAAAACCACTGTCAACGTCATCAAAGTTATCATCATCATCATTATCATCATCATCATCATCATCATCATCATCATCATCATCATCATCATCATCATCATCATCATAAACAAATAAACTATTTCTAAAACTATTTCAAATATTTCTTTATAAAAAAATAGTTTTTCTAAAACTGAAAACCACTGTCAACGTCATCAAAGTTATCATCATCATCATTATCATCATCATCTCTGATTTAACACACCATAAAAGGTGTCTTGATAAAAATACTCATCCTGGGTAGACGATAAATCCATTTGGCTACTGCCTTGTAGAAGACCTCCTAGGCAAAAACTTAAGGGGTAAACAAATTCTATCTGTTGACCAGCCTTACACCCTTTCTTCATTTATTAGGTTGACATAGATGTATTTATATTAAATTGTTTCCAGTTTAGAATGTTGAATGCTTGATCTTTTTAACTCAATGCATTGGCTTTAATTTTGTTTTTATGACTAGACAACTCATTCTATTATCTCCTAATGAGGGTACAGCTCTAGAACTCAGTTTTATGGTTCTGAGGCTGGCTGGTAGTCTGGTATCCTGAACTCTGTGGTTGCTCTCAATGAGACTGATTCCATTAACAGCTGTAAAGTATCAGAATACCAACAGCGCTACGCTGCGCTTGGATGGTGTCCAGGCTTGGTTGGGAAGCAGGTGCGATTGCACTCGATAATGGACCACGCAAATAATATTTAGTTGCGAAAGACCGGCCAGATATTTTAGTTGTTTTGAGAACATACAAGTTTATGTATGTTTCCATGTTTGTCCGCAAAATAACATAAAGTTATCAAGTTCATTATTTTATCGCGAATTATAAAATATATTCGCGAACACAAAAAACCTGCCAAATTTACTAACAAACTAATTCTATTGGTTGAAAAAAAACTAACCGAAATTTCTAGAGTATTCAAAAAAAAGTTCTTGAAAATTCTGTCGAAATATTTGTAAAAATTATATTATTTGAGTTTTTTATGTTTTCGCTGAGATTTCTAGCATAAATTGTTTTAAGAATATACATCAAACAAACCTTTTTTTTAATACTATGACTCATTCTCGGAGCCACATCTACAAAGCTATAAATGTTTTAAACTAATATTATTTGTTTACAAAAATAAATGTTTTAAATTAATTTTTTTTAACTTGTCAACGTTTTGTAAATATATTATAGATGTTATTAGTATATTCTTATTTTTTATATAAAAGGGATGTATTTTTTATGTATGTAATGTATTTTTATGTATGTATTTTTTATGTATGTAATTTTATGTATGTGCTTTTTATTCAAATGTTATCTTTTAAAGCAATTTGTGCGATTGATTTTGTAAACAAAAATACTTTCAATAATAACTGCGTTTTCAATGAAATTATTAATAATCATCAAAGTTAAATCAACAAAATAATTATGAAGTAAACATAAAAAAAGTTTAAAAATACTAAAAACAAAACATACATATCTCTAAAATTTAAGTTTAAAAATACTAAAAACAAAACATACATATCTATCATACATATATATAGTATCTCGCAGGTAAACAAGCACCGCACCAGAGGTCATGACAGAATACAAATATGTATATACTTACATACATAAATATATATCAGAATTAAAGAATACATACTGATAAATATTGAAACTTTCAGCGTAAATTCCACCCCCTCCCCCTCCCGTCAAGGTTTTAAAAATATTTTTAATTTAAACGTATTTATTTTGCTTAAAGTTTTTTTAATTGTCTTTCATTGGTCTTTCAAATTTGTGTTTATTAAATTGTTAATCTTATTTTGCTTTTTTGTTTGTTTTTGAAATGTTCTCAAAATGACTAAAAAATCTGGCCGGTTTTTTGCAACTAAATATTATTTCAATAGTCAATTATTGAGTGCAATCGCACCTGCTTCCTGACCAAGCCTGAATGGTGTCCCTGTTCATATTTTTGGTTTGTTTTTTCACTCTATCGCCTTTCTCTTTGCTCTATATTGCTCTCCTGAAATATTTTGTCTTCTTGTTGACAAATGTACTTTTTATGTAACTTATGAATCTTTTTTTACTCTAGAAGATTCCGAATCAAGTTTTTTCCATGGTTTTCCTTGTGCTGCAATTTCCAATCATTACCATTACTTCCATATAATTCAACAAAATAATTCTTTAGAAAAGAGATATCTGATTATCAATATGGATTTTGATCTTCTCGTTCTACTGCTGATTTATTAAAGCTAAAAACAATATGTTTTATTTTACATTAGATAGATATTGAGAGGTTAAAGCTATCGCTATCAATATTTCTAAACCCTTTGATAAAATTTGGCATAATGATCTCCTCCATAAGCTGTCTTCTTAAAGTGTATCAGGTATCAGGTAACATCTTTAAGAATCCTTCCTTACCAATGGTAGTATAAAAGTTATCCTAGATGGACAGCACTCTTCTTCATTTCTTGTAATTTCAGGAGTTCCTAAAGGTTTTAACCTTTAACCATTGTCACATTATTGTAATGTTGCTTCTTTTTCTCTTTTCAATAAATACTAAATGGGTGCTGCTCTAAAGAGCTAGAGTCTCTTGTGACATCTACTAAAATTCATACTGTCATTCAATTAAGTCTCACCCTTTTGCTTTAACTGTTCCTTAGTGCTCCAAAAAAAAAGGCTTTTGATGCTGTTAAGAAAGATATCATATATATAAATATCATAAACCAACTATATAAAATGCTTTATATAGTTGGTTTATGATATTTATATCTATATCTATCTATATATGTATATATATATATATATATATATATATATATATACATATATATATATATATATATATATATATATATATATATATATATATATATATATATATATATATATATATATATATATATATATCTATATATATCTATATATATATATATATATACATATATATATACATATATATATATATATATATATATATATATATATATATATATATATATATATATATATATATATATATATATATATATATATATATATATA